AAACTTATTCGAAAAAAATAGTCAAACTAACACCCAACGTTAGAGTGCAAAATTGATATAAAATTGACTAAAAAAATTGAGTGTTAAAAATAGATTAATGTTGCATTCATATACCAAAATAGATTAAAAACTTCAGTTGAAAAAAATTCTATAGTGGACCAAAATCAAGTGAAATAAAATTTATAGTGGACCAAAACACACCTGCAGAGAGCCCAAAATGTGATTTAATGAGAATTCTCTCTCTCACACAAACACATGAAATCTTAATTTAATGAGAATTAACATTAGACATATGCTCTAAGTTTCAATTCTTCTTAGGGGTGACCAAAGTAAAGGTTATGCATAGATCTTTATCATAATAGATGGTTGATAAATTTTGCCTTAGTCAGTCATTGTGTCAGATTTATTCTCAATGGATCAAATGAAAATGATATATGTATGTATGAGGAATTTCAAGTCTTTAGAAAAGCAATATAGGATTTGTTTGATGCAAATATAATTGTTAAAATACAACAACATTCCCAAAGCTGATACACACTGGTTGCTATCTTTAAACCAATTTTGACAAAGTTTCATTTTGAAAACCCATCCAATTGGCAATACTAAATTGTGTGTACAACTCATAATTTTTGTAGGTGTCATGTAAATGGAGTAAACATCATTAAGGACTCAAACTTGACATAAAAGCTTCATTATTTGCACTAATTTGAAGCTAACAAAATTAAAAAAAAAATCATTAACATCTTTATGCACATAAAACCATAGAGAAAAAATATGATAAAAAGTCATACCAATTGACAAACTATAGCTTTTTCTTTCCCCTTAGATCTGACATTGGTCGATGAATTTGACATTTTTTCTCCTTTAATAAAAAAAACAATGCAGATAATGTAAGAAAATGCTAATAAAAAAAATTGACACGAAAGCTTCATTATTTGACACTAATCTAAAGCTAACAAAACTAATTTAGCATTTAGCATTTAGCATTTGAAATTGCTAAATTATATGGATTGGTTTCGACTAACAAAACTAATAGTTGAAACCAATTTAGCATTTGAAAACACCATTAGTGTTGCATTCATATACCAAAAAATGGATAAAAAACCAAAATCAAACAATTGACTTCATAAGTTTTCCCAGTAACCAAACAACATAGGAATCAAAAATCAAAATTACCAAATACCAACAAAGGACATTAAATTAAGCGAAAATGACTAAATTCAACAAAAGGCAGACCCAACTAAAGAGTGGTGGCTTGCGTGTAGGATTTTTGCATCAATTATGGATTGGTTGGTGAGTGAGTGTGTGGGTGGGTGACTAAGAGATCGAAGAGGGTTTGTGTAGGAAAAAGAGAGAGATAAATACCTCATAGGATGATAGACATTGCTGGTGTTCTTGGGGTGCTAGAGGGTCGTTGGTGGATTGGTTGACGCAACTTATAATTTCAATCAAAATAACAATAACAGTCAAAGTAATCCTATTTCATCAACGCAACATTCTATTTCATGCAACTAAGAAAACCCTATTTCATTAAAGTATGAAAGTAACACTCAATTTCAGTCAAAGTAATCCTAACATTCAATATTTAAACCCTAAAGTTCAATAGCAAACCCAACTTCCAAGTTCACTAACATTAATCACCAATACCCTATGTTATAAAATTAGAACCCAATCGATTGTTAAAAAAAAAAAACCATAACATTCCATTTCATATGATTAACAAACTCTAATGCTATTTCATGAAAGTAACACCAAATCTCAATCAAAATAATTCATTCAATCAAAAAACTAAAACCAACTTCCAATTTCACAAATATTAAGCACCAAAACCCTAACATTCAATTTTAAAACCCAACTTCCAATTTCACAAATATTAAGCACCAAAACCCTATGTTATAAAATTAACACCCAATTTGCATAAAAAAAACAATAACATTCCAATTTCATAACAACCCTAACAAACCCAAACCATAACATTCCAAATTAATAAAACCCAATCGTAATCCAAAATAAACCAAACATTCAATTTAAAAACCATAAGAGTAGCCACTAATTTGAAATGTAACAAACACGATGTCATGGAAACCCCAATTTGAAAATTAGCCACTAATTTGAACACCCAAATTAACATCCAAAAAATTGCTTTAAAATGTGTGCTTGCTGTTTGTGTGTGTGTGTGAATATGACTGTGTGGTGTGTGTAAGCGATTGTCTGTGTGTGTGTGTGTGTATCTATTGTCTATCTCTCTCTGCGATATATATGTACTACTTCCTGTGTGTGTGTATGTGTATGTGTTCGAACATGTGTGTGTTGTGTATATGTATTGTGTGTGTATGTGCGAAGAGAGAGAGGAAGTTACCTGGGCTCGTTCTTGAGAGAGAGAGGGAGGGTACCTAGCGTCTTCTATGGCAGAGGAGCAAGAGAGAGAGAAAGAGAGAGAGGGGGTACCCTAGCGGCTTCCATGGCAGAGGAGCAAGAGAGAGAGACATTTGAATTGGGAGGAGCAAGAGAAAGAGAGACAGACGTTTGAATTGGGTGGAATATTGATAAAAAAAATTAGGAGGATTGATTTGGGTGGAATGGATTGTGAACCATTGGATTTAATTAGATGAATTTAGATGAGATCTGAACTGTTCTTCTACTTTTCTAAATTAGGAGGATTGATTTCAATTGGAAACTTTTGAAATTGATGAAAGTAACACTCAATTTCAATCAAAGTAATCCTAACTTTCAATTTTTAAACCCTAAAGTTCAATAGCAAACCTAACTTCCAAGTTCACAAACATTAATCATCAAAACCCAATTGGAAAAACAAAAAAAAAAACAAAACCATAACATTTTAATTTAATCAAAAACCCAACAAAACCAAAACATTCCAATTTCATAAAAACCAAAACCATAACATTTCAAATTAATTAACATTCCATTTTATATGATTAACAAAACTCTAACGCTATTTCATAAAAGTAACACCAAATGTCAATCAAAATAATTCATTCAATCAAAAAACTAAAATCATATTTCAATCAAAATACCCTAACATTCAATTTTAAAACCCAACTTCCAATTTCACAAATATTAAGCACCAAAACCCAAACCATAACATTCCAATTTGCATAAAAAAAAACAATAACATTCCAAATTAACACCCAATTTGAATAAAAAAAAACAATAACATTCCAAATTAATAAACAAAACCCAAACATCCAAAAAATGAAATTAAAACCCAATCGCAATCCAAAATAAACCAAACATTCAATTTAAAACCCATAACCATTAATATTCAATCAAAACCCAATTTTTTTTACTGGGAAAACTTATTGTTACTTTCCAAAAAAATAGAAATAAAACTTTCATAATTCTTGAAACACTATCTTTCCTTTGAAACACTTCCAAGATTCTCGAATCAGCCACCAAATCTATCTTTCCTTTGAAACACTTCCAAGATTCCAACCTTGGAGCGAAACTAAAGTAAATTTATGCCTACCATGAACTTCATTGCAAAATCTAGCTCCAGTAAATTGTTAACAGTCTCAATTTACTGGATAATCAGTACACAAAACCATTAAATGCCATTTGCCTTAACTATAATTTTCAGTTCCAACAGAAAAAAAAAAAAAGAAAAGAAGTAATACCCCTTTTGTGTGTGTGCGATATGTTGAAAAAACCCAAAAGTTCAAACCAAAATGAAGGTTGTGTGTGTGTGCTGGTGTGTGTGGGTTTTGACTGTGTGTGTCATCAGAGAGAGAGGTGTACCGGCAATCGAACAGAGAGATGGGGCAGCTTCTCTTATGGACTGGAATGTTACTCGGCATGGCAGAGGCAATCGACAATCGGACAGAGAGATGTGGATTTTTGACTGTGTGTGTCGTGAGAGAGAGAGAGCGAGCAACAGAGAGATGGGGTAGTTAGGTTTTGCTTGGGATGGGATGGGTCAGCTGGGTGGCGTGTGTGTGTCGTTAAAGTGGGCGGGAGGATGAATTTGAGTGGGATAGATTATGGGTCATTGGATGAATTTAGATGAAATCTGAACTATTTATTTAAATTTCAATTAAATCATAACCGTTGTTCTGCTTTTCTAAATTGAGTGGTTGATTTCAATTGGAAAATTTTGAATTTCTCTCTATCTTATTTGTATAGATGCTTGACAGTCTGCTCTGGTGGCTACAGAAAATAGAATTGAGTCATCAACAAATAAAAAATGGGAAATAGTTGGACCAGACCTATTAATCCTGAGCCGTGTTAGTTCCTTTCTCTCCATGGCTTGATTGATCAGTATTGTGAGACATCCTGTGATGATGATGAACAAAAATGAGGATATGGGATCCCCTTGCCCGAGTCCCCTTGATGGATGTACTCAAATAACCCTATCTCCATTTACAATAATATTGTATCTGACTATAGAAATTCATCGCAAAAATCATCCCCACCAACTTTGCATCAAACCCCAGTCTAAGCATAAGGTCCCTTATAAAATCTCACTCGACCATGTCATAGATTTTGGCCATATCTAGTTTGATGGTTATTTGGTACTTCCCGGTCCTTCTCCTTTGCCTCCTTGAATGCATTATCTCTTGGACTAAAATGATGTTGTCTTGAATTTGCCTCCCACCCATAAATGCACTTTGGTTGTGTGATACTATTTAAGTCTACAATCCAAGATCTTGGATATGATTTTGTAGGCCAAATTACAGCAACTGAATGGTCTGAAATCCCCTACCATTTTTGGTTGGTATCATGTTAAAATTCAATCACAATTCTTAAATTTGTTTTGAATGATTAAAAATTATAGGTTGAGAAAATAATAAAATATAAAAAAACCTGTATTAATTTTGTATGAGCATGCTAGGAATACTCAAATTAGTAGGGAATTTTCGATTCATGAATCAGTCATGTTAACTTGTAAAAAAAAAAAAATTTGGTACCTTAAGCATCCCCTATCTAAATAAATGCCGCTTATTCCGCCTTCATTCTTCTTTCCCCTTTTCTACCTTGAATTACTAATTTTCATCAACCAACTTACACCGTCGAGGTCTGTTTGGCAAGTCCCATCTATCTCCGCTTCAAGGTACGATCACCTCTCTCTCTCTCTCTCTCTCTCTCTCTCTCTCTCTCTCTCTCCGCAGCAGCAGTAGTAGTGTGGCGTAGTTGAACCATTTCCAATTCTCATTTTCAAATTTTAGCAAACAGACGAGTACTTTTCTTTGCTTCTTTACACGTACATAGCGATTAGGTTTCTCTATTGTCCTGCTTTTATTTATTCCAACTCTGCTCTATTTTTGTTGATAGATTTGTGTTTGTTGGGATGAAAATATGGGGGTGTCTCCTTTGATTCAGATTTGAGCTCGAAGCCTAAATTTTTATACCTAGCTTTTAGCCTCGTAGCATATGCATATATACACAAACTCTCATCTTTCGTAAGATTTGGACTTGATAAAATCCACTCCCCCGCAAAAAAATTGATAATTTTGTCTTGGTTTCGACTTGTTTCGGATCTGCGGTTGAAGTTTTTAGTGAAATTAGGTCCTCTACACTAGAGGAGGGGCTCCTGAAGCACTGTTCAGAAAGATTATAAATGCAGAATGACGACTCAGTGGGAAAGGGTGTCGCAAGTGACGACCATCGTATTTGTGGCGATCCGTTGGATCTTGAGATGCAGATTGTAGAGGACAAAGAACAGAGCTCATTGGGAGTTTCGCCCATCCAAAACAGTGATCAAACGTTGCTCACCATTGTGGTTTCTGATGGGGAGTCATTCAATCAAGTTGGTGCGATTGTTGAACGAGTTGACAAGTTTTCCGAGGCCACCGATGGAGAAGTGGCCGCTGTGGAGTCTCCTAAGAAAGCTCACTTATCAAGGAATACAAGTTCCCGTGAACAATGCAGGTAAATTGCTCTTTTAATGTTGAATTAATTGTCATGTTCATCAATTTTATAGCTGGAAAACTAACGTGTTACAATTTGAAGTTCATAACAGCAAAGCTTCACTATAATGCAACACCCTCATGTTTTGGTGTAACTTTATGTAGATCTTCTGCCTAGCTCTCATTGAAACTGCTCATATCCTTGGTTCTCATATCCTCTTGTATGTTACACACGTGGTGTTGCAATTTATGCTTTGCTCTATGAAGCCAAGTGTTGCTTTGTGATCGTATAAAATTGTGCTTCAGCCCAAGTGTGATAGTGCTTATTCTCACTCGGTTTAATCAGCTTCAATTATCATTGAGAATATTAGTAAATTAAATTAAATTAAATTAAATAATTTACTCAATTCGAAAACATTTATTTAGCCAAATTTTAAAAGCGCAAACCAGACTAAGGAAAAAAATGAAATAAATATTTCAAAATGACATACTGATGTTATTGCTTATTCGTGGGAAATGCTTTGAGACACAAAACAAAATCTGTTATGGTGTGAATGGATGCCTGTAAAATAATGGAATATGTTGAACGCTTGCTCATAATTGAAGGCATTAGTCTGGAGCTCAAATATTTTACTGGTGAATTAAAGTCTGAGACATTCCATATTACAAGTTATGTTGTTTTCGAGATATCCCTAGAAGAATGTGTACAGTTTCTTTTTAAGGTGTCCTTAAAATATTGTCCCATTTAACATGTCAAAGGTGAATTATTACTACTTTACCCTGTACAACCTTTGTTGACATACTAATTGCGGATGAACTCTAATATTTTATACCTATTAAATGAGAGCAAAGGAGCTGATCAACAAACGCTTGACTAGAGTTGATGCGCTCAACTCGGTTTCTCAATATTAAGTACCAAGTAAAGCCAATAACATAATAGGGATAGAGGAAGTCTACTTTCCAAGCGGCTTTTTAACTATTCCACAAGGATCAAAATTTGGTTCGATGTCTTTTCAACTCAAGTCAGGAGTTTGAAAATTGAAAATCTCGTGATCTGAAATTTTTCTTCCAGTATTTCACAATGTTTTAGAATCATCATTTTAAAATTTTCTATTTTCGCACCAAAATGAAATTTTGATCATTGTTATTCTATTAACGCTCCATAAGACATTCATCAAGTGCTTAATCTCATGCATGTAAAAAATGTGTTTTTAGAGTTACTCAATGAGAACAACCCTAGGATTTTTTCTCTCAATAGCAAAGCAAGTGTAGCTCACCAGTAGGACTGTACGCAGAGAGAGGCATGTAACTGCGGCTTGTATATAGTGTTTGAGAAAGATATATTGAATGGATGAAGCTATTCCCACATCCCACACCACCCTTGGTTTGAATGGCATGGAGTGTATATGGGTGATAGCCCTCATTAGATAACCACACCAACGTTGTCTCTTCACCAGGACCCAAACCTTGTAGTTTCCAAGGTTTTTAGCAACAGATACCATTTCAGCTAAATGTAGAACGTAACACTAAATGCTCATTAATAAATGAAGAAATTAACAATAGAGATATATTATTAATGAACTAGAGTTTTCAGGTGCACTTTAATGAATTGAATCCGAACCTCCAATAAAGGACCAGAACTTAATCAAGTTTGATCACATGAACTTTGAAGAACTTAAGTATATTTTAATAGACTTCTCAACTTGTAATAACGTGCTGTTAAAACTACATGTAAAAATGCGTAGGGAATCTTGAAGTGGATTATTCAGAAGACCATATGTATTCTAAGAATTTTGTAAATTTGCTCTATTTCCTATTTTTGGCTCCCTGTTACTTCCAATGGAATCCTTTATAGCTTGCTCAAGTCACTTCGTTGTGAAAATTGAGATCAACTATAACGGAACATTATACTTTTAACTTGGAGATTCCAAATCCATATTCTGCTGTCAGCTTCAGAATTTTGTTAAGCATCTTTTTCTTGAATGTGGAATGCACTGTGATGGTATCCTTTAATTCTTTTTGATTGTGAAGTGAAGACTTGAAGTATAATTGTTTTGTATGTTGCTTTGCAGAGTTTGTCAACAGGAAAAGGATGAAGATTTAATAGATCTTGGCTGCAAGTGTCGAGGTGGGCTTTCGAAGGCCCACCGGTCATGCATAGAAACATGGTTTCGAATGAGAAGTTCAAATAAATGTGAGATATGCCAGTAAGTGATCCTCGAAATTGGTTAATCACTTTCCTGTGTCAATTTGGGATAATATAATGATGCACCTCAGCGTTTTGATGCAGACAAGTAGCTGCACATGTGCCACTTCCAGTCTCTCAGCCAAGTGTAGGTATTTTTGTCCCTAAAGTGTAGGTATTTTTTGTCCCATAAGTGTAAAGGTTTAGGACTAAATTGAGGATAGTGGATAGTGGATAGTGGATAGTGGATAGTGGATAGTTATACACCTGCAAATGTCACATAGGCATGCTTGTATCCATTCAGTAGGATTTACTGTAGCATATTTTACTTTTACGACTGAATTTTGGAACACAAGTGCTAGGTTGACTTGGCCAGATATGAAAATATTTAACTTAAATGAGCATATAGCGCATGTCCGAAATGAATGGCGAAGACGAACTCATATAGCCGACTTGGGACATAAAGCTTGGTTTGGTTGGTTAGGTGCTAGGTTGACTTGGCTTCCGCTGAGTGCTCCAATGGCTTGCCTCTGACTTCACACTCTTGGCCTGTGGTTGCTATTTATAACTGGATTTTAGTCATGTAATGTGGATTTATAAACCTAATACTTTTGCTACTTGAAGCCTGTTCCAAAAACCAAAACTCTTGCTGGTTAATGTTTCTCTGCTTCTTCAATCTGGCCTGGTCTACGTTTCATTATGCTGTTCTGCTGAAAGTGCTATCATAGTAGCTGTGGATATCGGATCTGCGGAGGAATGTAGCTGTCAAGAAGATACGTCCTTAGTCTGTTGATTGGGTTTTTTTTTTTTTCTCTTTGGTGTTACAGTTCTCTGTGTCTCTTTCTCTTACTGGTGCATAACTGTCTACATCACCTTTGATTTGTAAGCATCAATAACTGATGATGTTAACTTGTGTACGAAGATAATAACATAGTACACAGTGCTTCTAAATTAGCATTCCCCATGCTGTTGGCACATTTGTTACATCTAATAAATCTCTGACCGATTGTTTTGCCTGTACAGCAGACAAGTTACTGGGTTTGGAGGGTTGACCCTGCCTTTGGAGGGTCGAGCATAGCACAAGAACGAGGGAGGGTAAGTAGGTGCATGTAGTACCTTCTGAAAAAGAAGTAGGTGCATGTAGCCTAGCTTCTGCATTGAGATGCTCATTTAGCGAATTGTGAATGTTCTGGTTCCAAATCCAATCACTTTTGTTACAGGGTTGTTTTAGTCCGCTTTGGGTGGCATTCTCAATCCTCATTGGTGGTCTCCTGCTGGATGTGTTGATATCTATTACGCTCGGTGTCTCTGCACTTCCTGTCAACATTATAATTGGTACATAATTAATCTTATCGTTTCAACTCTAATGTTGTACCTGACTACCTGTTGATGTCAAAATCCAGTAGTTAACGTGAAGTTTGCCTGCTGATTCAAACCCTATATGTAGGCGTTATTGTTGTGCTTGGACTTGGAACTGCTCTTCGGCTTGCCTTGGAGTTCTGTCAGGACTGGAGTGTAAGGAGAGTAGTGCATAGGGTGGAAGCAAATGTTCATCTCGGGTATCATCCTGCTTTGTAGGTAAACTTGTACATACACTTATGCACTTCCAATTGGATTTGTTTTGTACGAAGGACAACTCACCCTTCAATGTATTATTTACTTCTTGAGGTGACTGTTTATGCTCTCTGCAGCCATCTATACGCCGGCAAGCACTCAAACAGAAACTCCCCAACATTGTGTACCATTTAATTGTCTTTTGAAATGTTATGAATGGGCCGTTACTTATTTTTCATTGTATTGCAATTCGAAGTCAATTTTGTAGTTGAAATGGACCCCCCCCAAATCACTCTTCCGCCAACATCACAAGAACCCACAGCAAAAAAACACAACCAAACAAAAGGCAAAACACACACAGAGACAAAGTAACGTAATTATGGATGCAATGCAATTTTGATATCTGAAATAATCTGTATGCAATTCTTAACTGCAGCTGGGGATAATTTCTGTTACATTTTGTGGACTTACTAGCATTACGGAAGTCTGGTTATTGATCTTGCTAGGGCTAGGTTTGAGCAAGTTGTGACAAATTCTTTATGTGCTGTAGTTATGTGAGTGCTGAAGCGAGTGGCCTTATAGAGAGAAGCTTGGTCAATATCTTCTCGTTAGAAATTGTCGGTAGTCGGAGCAGAGAGATGGAGATATGGCTGATAAATATGTTGAAGGCATGCTTGATCAGTGGGTAGTGTTTCGGACTACTTAACCAGAGGTAGGAGGACAAATATGCTTGGCAGTCCCCTAAAAGAAGTGTAATGACGTTCTCATGGGAAGGGTATAACTTGGTACCTGTCTGATGTCCCGGCTAATATACCATTCAAGTTGGGTAATAGCTTACACAATAGCCCTGCCAACAATTTCATATCAAGTCATATGCTTGTACAACATATATGAGAGTGACAAAGATGGAGCTTGTCCAAGTGGATGGAGATGTGGGCTCGGGATCAAAACCATGACCTAAAACATGTGATGTGATGGGTAAGTCAAGGACACATTAGCATTGAATCATCTGAATTGGGGGACGGAATAGGCATGTACACCCAAGTAACCATACCACTGAAGGCTGAAGTTCGGCCCATTGGAGAGGCTAGTAAAGAGGCTGCATTATCGGAAATTTCTAATTCCGTCTTCGAGATCGAGAGTGATGGTGCCATAATTTAAATGCATATCTCTGTCAATTCCAAGCAAGGTTTTTTTTATTTCTAACACTAGACTAGCACAAGTTAAATCACAATTACTTACTCAAAGTCTAGATGCACACAATTTAATAAGGCTTGAGAGCATAATAAACTCATGATCTACCACTTTTCTACTGAAAAGTTTGACTGGTTTCCCTGTTTTTTAATTGGACACCCATTCCAAGTCTCGAGTTTGAAATAAGACGATAAACTTCCGCATATTTCCGCTGAACCATGACCTGTCTTCACTACTACGCTAAAGGACGCATAGTTCATCAATCTATTGTAACCCAAAAACTTTTAAAATTTGTAAAACTGTTTGTTCTTTTGTCAATCATTTTATTGTCATTCTATTTGCTTTAGATCTGTTGATTGTGATCATCTAAACAAGTTTTAAGACAAAACAATTGAACTAAATGTAAAACAATCGCATGAAATCTCTCTATAAAGGGATTAAGTCCATTGATTATATTAGAAATTATTTCTGGAGATCAGCAATATGTTACAGTCTAGCCTAGTTTTGCGCTCTTTGTTTAGTCAAGCTTAACACATAATGGGAATGAGAATCTTACGAACACCTCCCTTCTTCAGAACACACTCCCTGTAAACCTGTGTCCACGTCTAAAGAGAGGGAAACTACTTACCCTTTTTCATTTTCCATGGTTTTTCAATCAAGAAACTGGACTACTGTGGGTACGGGAATGATGTACTTGCAAAATGTTACAGGAGAGAGAGAGAGAGAGAGAGAGAGAGAGAGAAAGTTGAGACTTTATAAATGCCGCGTGGATCATCGGAAAGTTTCGCAGAAGTAATAATAGTCTGGAAAGTAACTAACATATTGTACTGTCCAACAGAAACAGTGAATTGTTTGCGAGTAGGAAAGCAGTACTGAACAAGTTGACATCACGGAGGCCTAGAATCACAACTGATTTCAACGACTTGAAACTGTGGCTCTTGGTCCTTAATCTCCTCAGTTTGATGGGCTACATTTGGCTCACACTTTGGCATTTCTTTGTTCTTCCCCCACAGCAGGGCGTATAACCCAACTATTACAACGATAGATCCTAATAAGCTGCATGTTGTGTTGCCACAAAGAAACCAGAAAGTAAGCAACATATTTAGGAGTATTGATGAACTGTTAACAGGCAGTCCTATAGTAATTAAACAAGAAATTACCTCCCAAGATGGATTTCTTCATGTAGGATGGGGACTTCGAACATGGCTGCCATTATCTGAACCAGGGGGCTGAATGCTGCTGTGAAGACGGGACCCTGTTTCTTGACACACCACGCCATCCCCACAATACACAACCCTGATCCTACCATTCCCTGCATCCACCACAATATATATATTTATATATAAGTTGAGTAGCTGGCAAGTTTGGGCTAAACGCCATTGCTTGGTGCATAGAACAGGTTTCATCATGTCCAACTAATTCAGGTAATTAATCAACCAGAAAAAAAAAAAAAAAAAAAAAAGCATTCTGTTCAAACTCTAGAGGACATTACATAATTTGCAAAATTCGAAAAAAGAAAAATGGCCCCCATTAGACGTGATTTAGCAAGCCATGAATAGTAGTAAATCAGAGTAGTTTATCTTGATATTAGATTAGGTTAATACCCAAAAGTAGAAATGTGTATGCCCGTAAGTTGTCTGCAATCAGAGGATACTGATGCAAACGAGTGATGATATAACAAAACTTCGGGAAAAGTCTATATACTTACAGCATACAGAAGACTCAAGATCTCTGTTTTTCCCTTCAAAACCCACAGGGCAAGGTTTCTGTCTATGCAGAAACTTAAGATAGCTGATTGAATGGCGCCAAAAAAGGCCATGATAGCAGTGCTGGAGCATTGGCATGGATAACTCCTAGCAATATTTGATTGAAGAAGGAACCATGAAGACCACAACAGTGTTCCGGCGATCAAAGCTATTGAACCAATAGTCCATCTCTCTTTCCTTTTAGCTAAGCTAAATATGAGGGCTTGATCAACAGTTTGAATTGCACCTTGTGGCTGTGAAGAGCTAAATAAAGGCATTCCTCTGTAAAAGGTCATCAAGATAGCACCTCCAAGGCATACTACTGTACCAAGCACTTTTGCTCTTCCACCGCTGCTTTTTGTGTTCACTGTCTCTAACCTGCAGCATGATGGGGGTGACAATAAACAGACGATGACATTATCAATATAATGAAATAATTCCTGAAAGTTATTTCCTTGTTTACGTACCCCAAGGGTAAGGCCATTATAAAGGTGACCACTGGCACCATGTTGAGAAAGGCACAGGAGAAAGTAGCAGATGTGTATTGGATACCAAGAAGGAAGAGGTACTGCGTGAGAGATGCCCTACAACCAATCTTTGTTTAGTTGATGCTAATCATAACAAATTTAATCCAACAACAAAAAGTGTATGCAGTAGGAAACCAAAAGTGTTGGCTGCTGATCTAATTACTAACCCGACAATCGCACTCAAGAACAAGTAGCATAGGAGGCCTAGCGTAAGCTTGGGTCTGCTATTCCTGCAAACAAGATTGGTTTAAATTTTCGATTACATAACCTTTGGTCAAAGACATGATAAAGTTGCGTCCTTCCACCCCAGTCCTGCTTCATGTTTCAGTAACAAATCAAATTGAGACGACTGCTACTTATGGCAGGGAGGTTTAAAGGGGTAGCATTAGCAATCAGATGTATGTGAAGGAGTCATAAATCAGGCAGCAATTTAATTAGATATGTAATCATGTGTGGAACATGAATTATGCCATGAGCCTTGAAATTAAGAGTGAGTTGTAAGTAGAGAGCTGCTTGCTACCTTTCCAAAAAGAAGCCAACTGGGGCTAAAAACATAGTAGAAACGAACTGCCGGTAAGTGATGAATACCAAATGGTTCATTCCATCATCAACCACTTTCTTCAGAAGTATATTCACAACGGCAAAGGCGAAGTCAATGCCTATCATTGCAATAGCAGGGTACCATTTGTCACAACTCTTCATCTCAGTCTTCCAATTAATACACTACTCTAGTGAGCTCTCTCTCTCTCTCTCTCTCTCTCTCTCTCTCTCTCTCTCTCAAACACACACACACAATGAATTTCCTATGCTTACCAATGAACATGAGGCAGACCTCTGTAAGTGTAAATAGAGTGGGTTCCAGTCTAGAATAAGTGCACAAAGCACGATTAAATTCTTCTAATCACAGGAATGCATTAAGCAACCAACTTTCACAGTAGCTTAGTAAACATATGTTCTCTTATATCTTTTCTTTTGACTGATCCCTTTCAACGCATGGAGATCATCGGGGAATCATTTGCTACAAGTTTAAACAAAGTCATCTAGCATCAATACATGATTCATCCCCAAAAGCTGCATTATGGGTATATCATGAGTTTTCTATTATGCGTTTCCCTCTCTGCTCCACTGGCCTGAAATTTCACACGTGAGTCAATCTTTTTCAAATATAATCTTACTATATCCAATCATAGGCATCTTTTGAGTGGGAGTGGGAGGTGCAGGTGAAGTGTTCTCCTTATTGCTTACCTCTGCATGGCATCTAATACCTTCTTTGCAACTATATGAGCACCATCCTCATTTTACGATACGCATGCCAACAGGGAACAATAAGTCATATCCTACAAATATATATATATATATATATATATGGAAAGAAAGCCATAGATAACAATGGATTATTCTTTGACAAACTGAACTGGCATTTTTTGTTTTCGTACTTATGCTATCCAAACACTTTAGTTTTGATAACAACATCTTAAATGGCTGTTAATGTAAATATTGTTCTTATAACCTCTATCATATGTAAGGTAATACTGAGGGTCAACCACAAGTTCATATGATTGAGATGACTTTTTACCTGTAGCCCACCTCACTCACCGAGTCTTCAAGTTTGATTATTACCTGTATATAAATGAGAGTTAAGGAGAAATACTGTGTATTAGGAGTACTTATGGACATTGTATGATAATAATGCCACAGTCCATGGATCGTAGAATGATTTCCATGATTGACATCTCAGCATGGCAGACACGACAAATGACTTAACAGATGCTTTTACAAACTACAGTATAATAGAAGTGTTAGGTTCCAAGTGTCGTTATCTTTGAACTTTCCATGCGAATGGTTTGGACCGTTCACTAGAAAGGATAAGTTATTCCCGTAGGAATTTGAGGATTTGATAATTTTAATGAATGGGGAGTTAGTTTTTTAGAGTTAAAAAAATCTCTATAAATGAAATAGAATTGAGATTTTCTCTTTAACGAGTTTTCTCTGAATTGGGTTTTTCACTGATAATTCTCTTTATGTCTAAAAAATTTTATTTATACTAAAAGTTGTATCAAATAGTCGTTATCACTCACTAATATTTCCTCGATTCTCTGTAATAAAAAAAGGCTAAAAATATTTCAAGTGTCAAAAAAGACTGAAAATACTCCAAGTAGGATTAACTATCTTGATTAATTTTTCACTACTTGATGAGTCTCTCTAACTAAGTCGATTTGAAAATATTCAATCAAAACATACAATCATATATATATATGCACGATTAGATAATAATATTAAATACATAATAATTTTACAAAAAATGTATTTATGATATATGTCATGATCCTATGGATTTAGCCACATATATTCTAACATCTCCCACTTGACTACAAGTCTGAGATGTTTATTCATAACTTAAATCCATAACAACAACATATTATTTAAATTCTTCAATTCTAAATGGTATGTTTTTATCAATGGGTCTACAACTATATCTTTTGTACAAAAATAATCAATAGGAACATGTTCTTTTTGTATTATATCACTTACCTATAATAATAAGATAGAGTCAATTTCAAACTTGTCAAATTGAAATTAACCCTCACAATTTAGAAAAGCAAAAGAATGACTAGAATTTAATTGAAATTTAAGTCTACAATTCAGATTTCATCTAAACCTATCTAATTAAATCCAATAGCTCACAATCCATCAAACTCAAATATATACTCTCGCCAGACTTTAACCACACACACGCCACCCATAACACAAACCAAAGCCAGCAACCCTCCCCATCCCAGGCGCCCTCTCTCTCTCTCTCTCTCTCTGCATTTTTCTTTGTTTGTGTTATGTGATTTTGTGTTGCATTTTTCTATATTTGTGTGTTCTTTGTGCAGATGTTTTAGTTTTAGGGTTGTTGAGGGTTTTGTGTTGAATTAGTGTTTTCTTTCGGTTCGTTGACTTTGATAATAATTGGGAAATGCTAATTGGTGCATGTAGTGGAAGCATTGGTCATGACGTCTACTGAAGGCTGCCCTACTACATCTCAGGTCTAACCTTTGTCCGAGCAATAATCGTTATTGGAAGATACAACCTATAGTCCAGTGAGGATTGAGAATTCATTGCTATGGTAGTTAGTTCAGTTTGCTATGGTACTTAGGATTTTTAGGTGAATAGAATGATCTATTGGCATATTTTTTTGGTTGATTGAATGCTCTTTAACGAGATTTTCCCGTTATGAACTTTTCCGTTGATTGTTGTGTTTTTATTTTTTTGGTGAAATAATCTTTATACTACCATGAAAGACTTTGTAAGTCTGAGAAATGATAAATTCTAGATTGCATAAATTTTCATTCTATTTCACAATTTGTTTTTCTTCCTTTTTTTTTTCTATTTTAGTTTTTATGATCATTTGATAGACGAAGTAATCTGCTTGGTTTCAAATTGAATTTTTTATATTTTTGTGTTCTTTAAAGATTATAAATTTTATTTGGTTGAGTTATTTGTATATGTGGTAGTGTTTTAGAAAAATCTTTGTTCATTTTTATGATAATTCTAGAAATATAGGAGATACGATATACTCATTCTTGTAAGCATGGTGAGATGAATGAGACATGTAATTTCAGTGTTGTAGAAGGAAGCATCTCAACCCTAAAAAAGAATCGAGTTCCATTGACTATCTACAGTCTACACACCCAGTTGATCCCCAATAGTTTAGCAAACTTGCAATGGCATAGCAACAGCTCATAATCTATCCATGAATTAGGAAAGTTTAGACAAAATCATTAGTACGAGAAAGAAAGAAGCGCGTGATTAACTCATGAAGATGAAAATTGACATGGAGAAACCCAAAATCATGCGGTCACCACAATATATACTTGTAAAGGAAGATGGAAGAAGAAGCCATTGAGATTGATAGTATCCAACCACCATGAATAGGAAGAAGCAGCAGCTTGATCAAACGAAACCCAGCACAGTTGAGTTTAGAGAAGTCCTAGATCTGTAAAAGAATTCTGTATATGTTCAAGGGTTCCGAATCAGTTTTCTTTGTATCTTGCTATCTTTGGGAAGAAGAAAAGGGTTCCTGTTTTTGATTTTCCAAAGGTGATGGATGGTTTAGTAGGCAACTTTGCCATTGATATCCTTATTATTAGGATATATTAAATTACCATTTTGACCAAAGAATCAACAAGATGAAATTGAGTTGCAAGTTGTTGCAGGGTCTGAATTTTCACCAGACAGACTTATGGACAATCAACCTTAACTATATAATCTTTAATTCGAACCTTAATCTTAACCTTATCTCGGGTTGGGGAACTCAACCCGAGCACTGCCCGAGTTTAATTCGGGCGGGCTCGGGTTGATGATTCGGGCTAATTTCGGGTTACTTTATGAGTTTAATTCGGGTAAAACCCTAAATAGACTTGTTATTCTAAACCTAATACATATATAACATAATATTCACCTAAATTAACAATCAATAATTTCAATTAAGTTTTGAACGAGAGAGGCTGGGAGAATGAGAGAGACAGAAAACGATAGAACAAAAATGAAAAATCAATGCTAATGCTATATATATATATATATATATATATATATATTTTTTTTTAATATGTCAGGTTCGGGTTGAACTCGAGTTCACGAGACCTTAACCTGAGCCCAACCCAAATTGAATTCGGGTTGTAATTTTTTGACCCAAGTCTAACCCAAGTATTAAAAACTCTTGTCCAAGTCCTAATTTTTTTGGGTTGAAATCGGGTTACCCAACCCAAGTTTCACCCCTAACATCCATCCGTTGATATGTGGAGAAGCACCATTATCTATATCTATTTATTCTACTTCTAAATGTATACATATTGAAAAAAAAACAATTATTTTACTCTTTTACCCTCTAATAACTTTTAAATATTCAAATACCATGCTCTTGAGTGAGTATTCATTATAAAATATATTTATTTATTGTTAGACTTTCATGTCTCTCTTTTTATTCTCACTACCCATCTATATCTATGTTTATACTCCTTAAAAATCTATATCTATATTATTACTTACAAAAACCTTTCGTTTTCCTAATTAATGTTTGTACACTTAGTACACTTTTTAGATGGCAATAGATTAAACTTGAAGATATGAAGAACAATAATATTAAATTAAACTTTTCACATTCTTAGGTTTGAGAAAATCAATGGAACTGAAAGGTTTCCAATCCATGGGTGATAAACACAGGTGGTTGGTTTGTTTGTATTTCGTATTTTCTCTTGTTTCCCATATAACTGTGCACAAAAGGCAAAGGATTCCTATATACTCCCCAATTATGTGAAATCTCTTTTTTCTCTTCACTTCAACGGTCTTTCTCTTTGATTTTTTTTTTAATCTTCTGAGGGTGATATATTGTATGTCTTGGCATGTGTTTCTCATGTTTAAGTCTAATTATCATTTCCTTCATCTTTTAATTGGTGTTTGTGCATTTTGATAGCAAAGAATCCCAACATTAAAGCTTGACAACGACCATGTGTCCAAACTCGCCCCTGTATAACTTTGCTCTTGTAAGTCATACTATATATATATATATATATATGAATCTAATTGAATTTTCATTCCTTTTACATTTATCTCTATTCTATCTCCCAAACACATATTTTTATCTCTCATATAACTCTATCTCTCTACTAACTACTCTCTCTATCCTAAACGCATATAAAATAAAGTAATAGGAGTTGAAAAGTTTAACTTGGACGGCTATATATATCTAATAATAACAAAATACATCTAACACCTATTCAAAATCTAATAACAAGGATTCTCTAACAAACAATTTAAACACACACTTTCTCATCTCTCATATAACTCTCTATCTGTATATCATACTCTCATCTCTCATACGTTTATCTCATCTCACATATAACTCTCTCTCTCTCTCTCTCTCTCTATCTATCTCATACTCTCTCTGTACACCCACCAACACACAGACGTCAATATCGACTCCTACCAAAAAAAAGATATTTTTTAGGTATAAAAATTAAATTTATAAATTGTGTATATGTTGGTTTTCTTCAGAGGTCGTGTTTTTAGAGGAAATTTTTTCAAAATTGTTTAGAAAATGGTGCTTTCAAATTGATTTTGAATTGTGTAACTAAAGAAAATAATAAAAAATAAAATACTATATGAAAATATTTATATTGCATGATCGGTGCTCGAAGTTTTTTGAGTTATTTAGTGTCTTTATACACGAGTTATTACTAGTAATTGCAAAAAAAAAATTCAAACAATTTCTCATGCTTAGAGGCACTATATAACCTACAACTTTGTCGATCAATATGGAACAACTATTTTTAAAAAAATGATAGAATTTCCTCTTAAAACATGAACACTCAACGATTTTAACTTGGGTTTAACACTTATTTAAATGAATTAATAATTGTTACAAACCTTTATTTAAAGAAACTTACCTCAAACTAATTACTACCTCGGAATCACGCTACAATCCTAGCGATAGACCTGTGCAATTCACAAACAATGACATTTCTATAAAAATATAAATAAATATCTCATGTACTAACTTGTAGACTTTAACACTCTACCATTGCAGCCCTCATAATTTTTTAAGAGACCTGTTGTTAATGAGTCTCAAGATGTAACATGGATTTTAATTGGGAGTGTTTTTTTGACAGTATGGATCCAAAGCATGTGTAACCAAATAGCATTTGGTTGTCACAATGCAAATCAGCTCAATATGGCTATACAAATCAAACAAACATTTATACAACTATTCTATATACTACCAAAGGCAATCTTTATGCAAAGTCATATACATTATGTGACATTAAGAATGCTCCCAAGCCACAAATCAATGAACATAATATCAAATCAAGAAAATCTTAACCTGACCAAATCAAATAGATATTGAACACACCACCACTAAATCTTGGACTCACAAATCAAATAATGTGGATCACCATATCAGCATAAATTTACGCATTCACCAAATAAATGCAAATCCAAATCTAACCTGCAACCAAGAAATTTTTTTAGCATATTTAACAATTACCATAACCACCAAAAAAAATTCACATCAAAACACTCATGCCAACACACTAAAAATCACAATAACCAACCTATGTGCTGCCTCATAGGCAGTGAGAGTATTCCTGACTGTCTCCTCCTCTCCTATCATAATTTTCACCATTTTTGTTGTCTTTTCTCTGTCTTAATCAACGTCACCAAAAGACAATAAATTGTGGATATAGCTTGCATATATTCGTGTAGAAACTTCAAATCTTACCTCTTTTATACGTCTAAAACCACAAAAATATATATATATATAAAAAGTTATAATTATCGGGGGCTAAACATACCAGTTATAAACGTTAGTTTTTTTTTTTTTGTTTCATTGAGACAAAATAACAAACAATTTAAATCATTATATATAAGAAACATATTGCCCAAGAAAATTCCAAGATACCTGAAAAAAAAATTAAGTTAGGTAATAACCCATCTCAATAAGGGATAGCATAGCCGTACATCATAAATAATATTTTTATACTTTACTTTTAAATCATAATAACCACGATCTTCACAACAAAATCACCACCCAAATCCTAAATCCAAGCATAATCATAACTACCACAACATTGCAAAGGGCATGATTTTATACCATCACACTATGCTATTAAATTATAAAAAAGAACACAATTTGGCATAGAATAATTAAATGATAAGATAGCAACATAGAGACAATCACATTCCAAACCCAAGAGATGATATCTTAGCAGCATAGAGATGCCAAATCAACGGAAATATGTGGAAATAATCAAAGCAACTAATATTTATTACAAAGGCATTATACACCATAAACCTTCATGATCCTTAAGTTACATATCAAACTTTACAACTGAAAGCCTAATAAAATACAATATAAAACATATGCAGGCAAAGTTTATAATAAACTATTAAAAATAACACTTTTAGCATGAGCCTTTTTAATTTCATTTGTCAATACAAATAAAAAATCAGGGTGATCAAAAGAGAATTGGACCAAAGAATGAATAAATACTCCCTCATTGAGAACCAACCTTAACCCTACGATCACCAAATTCAAAAGATCACGAATTGATAAACATAGATTGATATTTAACCTTTATTTTCAAAATCAAGAAAGCGAAGTAAAAACTAATCGGACACAAACCAATTTTAAAACAGAGTATACACACCAAGAAGCATACATGTACTTAGCTTCTAATTTTTGACTTTCTTCCCATGTTCTGACTAATGACGGCCTCTGACCCTAAGTAAAACTCAAGGAAATCACTCAAGTGATAGGCAATAAATTTAATCACGGAGTACAATGTGAATGAGGAAATAAAGTGACAGAAAAAAAGGATTTTTCTCAATATCTTATTCTTGTGGTACTGTTCCTCAGAGATCTCTTTCTGATTCTACCACATGCATGGAAAATCAAACGATCTTTGTTGACACCATAGCAATCGCAACCTGATAACGTACATCATCAAGGCAAGACGAAAGCAAACATAGGATCATCGCCCTTTTCTTCTTTCTTTTGTTGTTGATCTCACATCGAGAGCGACTCTTTCTTGTTTAGGGTCATCAGATGAGATATCTTCCTCCAACTTTAAAAATCGGTCAAGCGGGAAACTACCCTCGACTCACCTCTCTCTATAAAAAAAACTTGAGCAGAATCTTCGGGATGAGCATGTCATAGATTTCTAAATTCATTCTCGTCTTAATTCACCATGGAATCTACAAAAACAACCCTATTAGACAGTGATCAAATATTGGCCAATAATTTTGACTTATTTTTTGACCAAATTAATAGTTATCTAGTAGTTGGTCTTGCATGGGTAATTTGAAAATTTTATGGCAAATATAAAGTGATTGCATTGAAATTTAACTAATTTTGTAACAGTTCTAAACAGTTGGGGACTATGTATTATACAAAATCAAATCTCAAGGGATTACGGTGTAATTTTTCATACTTGAGAGGGTCTATATGATATAGTAACAAATTTTAGGGCATGTGGATATAATTTTTACTAACACTTTTTGGTCTTTAAAATATAGAATTTTGTCATTTTAATTTTTATTATATAAATTTTATTAATTTTAACTCTAATATATTCAACTTATTTTTAAACGATTCCTACACAGTCCCTTAAAATGGGATAAAAGATAAAACACTATTTTTTTTTTTTTTTGGGGTGCGTTCGACGACAAATAGATTGTTGTTTTGGCTGCCTGCAATCACGGCTAGATATTCCTTTGAATCTGTAGCTGGCAAAACTCCAAAGAGAAGACGATCAATCCCAACTGAAAGGTAAATGAACTGAACAAGCACTCCCTCGATAGAGAAAACCCATTTCAATCCGCTCTCTCTCTCTCTCTCTCTCTCTCTCCTCAATCACTCCTTTGATGGCTGAGTTACAGCCGCCGGAAGTCCTACCTGACACAGGCCCAACCACCACTACTACCACTACCACTGCCGCCACTCCAATAGTACCCGTTTCTTCTGAAATCGACAACACCACCAGCAATATCGGCACAAGTTTAGGACCAAAACGCCAACGCCGGCCGAGTGTCCGTCTGGGCGAGATCGGGGATCCACCAGCCACTGTCTCCAACGATTCTCATCCCCGACGACCCAAAACGACCTGGAAATTTCATAAACACCCGAGGTTAGTCACTAAAACCTCCAAAACTCGACCTTTGACCAACCTCGTCAACGGGGGTGATAATAACCATGACAACCTGAACACCAACGAAGACAACAGCACCCACAACCCCGAACTCGGGAGCCAAATGCCCAAATTGAAAAAACCTACAAAAAAAATACGAACCAATTTGGCGGCCGCAGCCTTGAAACTCGACAACGGCGGCGTCGTTGGGGATAATAGTAGAGAAGATAATGATGATGGAAAAGCGTTCAGGGAATTCGAAGCTGAGGATTCGGAGAGTCCGCTGAAAGAACAGAGCCCAGTTCAATCGATTGACAATGCGGAGTTCGATTTTTGGCATCGGAGGCCAATTAGGGCTAGGGTTTCGAAGAGTCGTGATGGAGATCATGATGAGAATGGAATGCCGGAATCGAATTCTCGGGAGGAACGGAATTGCGTAACAAGCAATGAAGGGGTAAGAGATTGGCTGATTGGGCTTGGATTGGGGCGTTATGCGCCGGTTTTCGAGATACACGAGGTGGACGATGAGGTTCTACCGATGTTGACATTGGAGGATTTAAAGGATATGGGGATAAATGCTGTTGGTTCTAGGCGCAAAATGTACATCGCCATTCTCAAGCTTCGGAAGAGGTTTGGTTTTCGTGAAGATTTCTGCCATTCTTAACAACTCAGCGGCCAGGGCCATAGACATAGCCATAGCCACAGCCATAGCAGGAACAAAAAAACTTCAATGCATGTCTGAGAAGAGAGGTTTGAGTTCTTTTTGAACTGTTTTTTTGAGGATTTCTTTGGGTTTTCTTTTTCACAAATAAGAATGAATGAGAATGAGAATGAGAATGCTATGATTTTGTAGTAGTAAGTTTTGGAATTGAAATGGTTGGTTTACATGCTACTAGTAGTAGTACTGCATTCAATATCTCTGCCGTGGCGCCTCACCTCATGTAAGAGAAATCCACGCAACTAGAAAGGGATACGAAGAAAAGAGAAATAATTAAAGAAATCTTCATTTCCATCCCTCGTGTAATCCTCCATGCTTTTGACCAAAATCCTCTTTTCCTCTGTGCAACGATCAGAAAATTTAGGAAAATGCTATACGCACTAAATTCTTTTATCGATTCTTTGATCCTAAATAACGTGACAGATATTAAATAGCTGTAATATATGAGTAAAAAATAATTATACAAAATTAAAATATCTTTATTCAATATGTATTGGGAAGGAAAAGAATATGAAAGACACTTAGCCTCCATCTAATCTAATGTATTGAAAATTTAAGGATAAATTTGAAAAAAAAAATATTAATTATGATTTTGTTTCATAAAACGACAGATATTATAGAACAAAAAAAATTATGTAAAATAAAAGATATTTAGGACGGAGAGAGTAATAAGACTCACTTGTTTGATAGTAAAAATTTTGTAAAATAAAAATTTAATAAATATAACATTACTTACAAATTTATGGGACTAATAAATGACTTTCTTTTATAGGCTTGCCAGAAAAACAAGGATCATGTAGACATAAAACATTGCAACATTTAGTCAATACAACCCTATTATGTCCGTGGGGGCCAATTGGGTACCCAAGCAATTGTAGAAAGCCCAATATAGGAGCTCAAACCTACCCTATATCCTTCCCTTCCTATTCCTCCTTGCAACACTCAAATAACAAGGCTGAATTTTCAATTCTCTCTCTCTCTCTCTCTCTCTCTCTCTCTCACACACACACACTAAATTGTTTTGGTTGAAATTAATTCGATCGGTCAGGTAAGGCAGAAGTAATAATCCAATTACTTAACTGCCTGCCTCCATATGTTTGGGCTCTGCCGCCTTACTAATCCATAGGGAAAAGTGTATGGTATCGCCTTGAATACCGTACTAAAAGTTACTTTTTTTATAATAAAGTTATAATTTAAAAGAAAAAAATTACAACTATTTAAGGAAAGTTTATAATTGACCAAAGGTTCATGATAGATTATAGATATAAATGATCGATCATAAATTTTCTATGAATAGTTGTAATTTCTCTCTTTTGAATTGTAACTTGACTTTTAAAAGTTGTAACTTAACTTTAAAAATATTATAACTTAACCTGAAATTATTATAATTTTCGATATGGGACCCCCTTCGGTACCGTAACCTTTCCCAATCCATAGATACTCTAAAAAATGAGTAAATATTAAATAAAACGGTTATACTATATTATTATTAATGATATGATATCACTAATTAATAATAAAATTTTAAGTGAATAAAGTAAACCCCACTTGAACTTATATAAAAGAAGAGTGAAAAATTATTTACTTGCATAACAAATTAATTATTAATTTTTGTAAAATTCATTTACTTATTTATTTTAATATTATTAATTAATAATACCATATCACATTATCATCATTGTAATTAACATTTTTTTCCCAAAGAGGGTCTACAGGCAGGCCGACTTTTAAGTTAAACTTGGTATTTCGTCACCTCAAACCGAGGAAGGAAATAAATGTAATATAAAATTCTCTAAAACCTCAAGTTTGAAAGAGTTCGACAGCTTCTTCATCTGCTATTCAAAAGCGTTATTTGACTTTTCTGTACTCGAACCAAAATGCTCGCACATGAGCTCCTACCTGACTTCTTTCTAACGCGCAACAGACTAACTTCCTAAATGACTGAAAACTTGATTATAGAGGAACATAATTTATCAAGCATATCATCACATCTATATGCGTGTCTAATTCGACACCCAACTCGGCAAGACCAAAGAATAACAATATGCTCTCTCCCAGGATATATGCACGAGGGCATGAAAAGGAAAAAAAAAAAGAGGTGGGGCCAGTCCCAGTAGGAAAAAATGAACTAGTATAACCCATCCCTACCTCCTGCCAATGCAGATTTACTTTCAAGGCCCTAACCAGGACTTGGTCAATGGCCTTGCATTACCTAAATTTCTTGTTCGTCCAAAAACACTGAATCTGAAAACATGTAAAATGTTTAGCCTAGCATGAAAAATATTTGGTGTAATTGAATAAGGGCCAAACCATAAGTACACTACAAACAATTTCCATAGAATCAATGATGTTGTCAACATGCTGCAACCCACAGTCAATATCACTAGGTGTAGGCTACCATCTTCTGGTGAAAAGATGAAAGCATTCTATAGATTCATTGCAACGTTTTTCGTGATTTCACCGTGGCTGGCAAGCAGCAGTGCATTGCAACAGATGATAGGCCAATTTCTCATTCAGTAAGGAATTTTTACACATAAAACCACCAAAAGACTTGACAACAGCTTACCAGTCCAAGTGAGACCAAGTCATTTCAGATAAAGAATGTCATAGTGTCCCGGTCGGTATAGCAATGTAATAAACGGATTGATGGTCTTAGGGTCACCAACAGTGGCAGCATCAGCGGGCAGATCACCAGTGACATGAGTGAAATCGTGATGATTTACGCTGACACCACCATTATCACATGAGCTGCGGTCTAGATAAACAACACGAATTGGCACACCCAATGCATCAGACAGGGCTGTAATGTGCACATGGTCACTCTCTTCACCCATTGGTTCCACAGACGACTTGCAAAACTACATGAAAAAGGAAGCCATAAGAAAAGACATGTAGGGGTAAACAACTCCACAAAGTTTCACGAACCCAAGGGATGTGAACATAATCTCAAACCATAAAGGATCCAACCATACCTCAGGAGTAGGAAAAAAAAATGAAATCATTGAATTACAGATGTGTGACTGTAAGGTGGGCAATTTAGTGATTTTGACAAAAAGACATTTCCAATTCTACAATATAGTCATTTTCACCAACCATAAGTAGCACTGTAGGCCAAATGCAATGAGTTGCGATCCATGAATCAAAGATCAGTTTCTTTCTTCTTTTTGCATGACAATTGTCTGACAATAATGGTTCCTCCCCCTCAAGACAATAAAAAAATTTCTTGAGCTTTGTGCACACATACACAGTGGAATCTATTATCCTTTTCCTGTTGTTATCCCTTTTTATTGGACAAATACTGAGTTCCCGGATCTACAATCAATACCTATATCTTTTTTTAACGTCAAATTATTCAACTACAAAAGCAAAACGATGATGCATGACAAGATAACTGACCTGTTCTACCGTCGCATTGGTTAAACCCAGTATAAATGGTTCAAAAAATTCCGAGCGTTTGCGTATTTCACCGGAGGTAACAAATCTGAAGAACATAACAACTAACGAACAAAAATTGTTAGGAGGTACATAAAAGTAAAAAATGCAACATGCTCATTTGCCCAATGTATTCTCTTCCAAAATATTCAAACTTGGTTTTGGCAATGTCACTCACCATAGTCAGATACCGACTGATCTCGACTTCTCTGCACAAGCTCATCGTGACTGAAACCAGAAGAATCGTATTAATTGCAGTGTTTCAGGTAGTCAATCAAAATAAATCAATGTGAACATCTATATCTTCTGTAGGGAAATTTTAAGCATAAAGTTTCTACAAACCTAATGGAAGCTTCACTCCCTTGAAGAACACTTTCAAGCTGTTCGAGGAACAACTGAAAAGTTTTAAACGAATTTAAAATTAGAGGTGCAGAAGCAAACACGAAGGAAAAAAATTCATTTGAAAACTGACACGCTGATCAAAGTTTGAAAATTAGAGGGAAAAACAGCTTAAAAAAACAGAATTGACATGACAACAAACAAGATGTCTCTCCATTTTTGTCTCCTAACCTTCCCCACCCCTCTTATATGTGCTGCCAAAGCTCCAACAGAATTAGAGGAAGGAGAAGAAATGGTAAGATCTTCTCAAGAAAAAAGCTCTTTTTCCTATACCGGCTTGTACTAAGAAAATTGTAGGGTATTTCAGATTATACTCCTTTGAAAAAGATTGCAAAACATTGACAATGAACAACAACTCTGTTCTACAATCCGCTAATCAGCTAAAAAAATCTCCAACTAGTCAATATATCCAAGGTTTATTGTCTACATAAAGCAATTTTTAGTGATTGAAGTAAATAAAAATGACATTTTTTAGGACTCCACAACTTCACCAATACAAATATAGAATTCAAACTAGTCACGATCCTGATTAATTCCTTCTTTTTCCTTTTATGGGCAGATGTAAAGACATAGAACATTCTTGAAAGTGATATAGAAAAAGAAGGGGGAAAAGGGGAAAAAGGGGGGGGGGGGGGGGGGGGGGAATGGGGTTCATAATTCCAACAAAAAAAAACTCAAACTCAGCTCAACAAAGCATTGTCCAAACTATGTAGGGTTACCTGCATGAATCTTATGATGAGCCTATACTTAGTTTAATTTTTTTGTAAACAAAGAGCTATCGCAGGCGTCTTCACTATCAAAGTTGAAAGGGTGGAACACTGAATTGACCAAGACTACAATAGAACCATCATTTACGGATGAAACTTCATGTACAAATGTCAAGACACACAAACAGATTCACAGAGCACATCAATCACGGGATTTTGTTGAACTGGTCAATTTATTGTTCTTTCTAACAATTGATTTATGGTGACCAGAACAATGTCGATTTCAGATTCTCTGGTTGATCGATTTCTTTTTGCATCTAGGTTCATCGACATTGTGTTTTTTCATGTTTTCGTGGAAATGAACGATTCTATTGCTAGAGCAGTTGGTCCATCTAGAAAAGAGCAGCAAGATGCTGTAGACACCGTCGACTTGGCTGTTCTTTTTCAGCCTCATCGAGGGAGGTCAGCTTTAGGTTTATGTCCCTGGAGGATTCTTTTTTCTCTGGAGACCTTCATCTCCCCACTGCCATGTCGTCTTTTACAAAGCACACTTAAAGTGCTTCTTCTGTACAGACATTACCTCTTTAGCAGATGTATGTGAGAAGGTGTGCTTTGTAAAGAGGCAAGATGGCACTGGGGAGATGAAGATCTCCGGAGGATAAAGAAAATTTCCCTCCCCCCCCCCCCCCCCAAAAAAAAAAAAAAAACTTTCCACCCTGCCCAGTCACAAGTAAAGCCCCCCTTTTTATGGCTTTCAATTGTCCGAAGACATAAACCTAGAGCTAAGCTCCCTCGCTCTGGGCAGAGGAAGAACAGCCGAGTCAACTGTGTCTTCAGCATCCTGCTGCTCTTTCGTAGATGGACCAACTACTTGATCAATAGAATCATTCCTTTCTACAAAAACATGAAAAAAAAAATCACTGTTGTTCCAGTCACCGTAAACCAATTGTTAGAAAGATGAACAATAAATCAAAGCAGTACAACAAAAAACCCCCAACTGATGTGCTCCATGGAACCGATCACTTTTGTACGTATTTCTATTTCAACCTGCAAATCTGAAATTATAGGAACAACAAATTGTTAAACCACTATACTCTGTATGTAGTCTATGAAAATGACAGAATTGTCTCTATTCCACAATAATAGACTGATTTCTCATGTTCAAGTCATCAAAATGACAATTTTCAACAAAAAATTACTTGAAAACATTGCGACTCCGATAAAAGTAGTCTATCTCTGCATAAAAGTTGGGGAGACACATACAGAACAATATGCAAAAACAGAAACCTCCTATAATTGAAAACCTATAAAAATATTTAAAAGTCAACAATTTTCCATACAAACCCATGGCTCACTAAACAAGCCTACTGCTACAGAGAGACAGCTTTGCAATTTGACACACTTAACAGCTAAGAAAACCATCAGGGAGATACATTTTTGCAATTTAAAAGCATTCAACAGATAGTCCTTGTTACTAGCTTATCTGCAGTTACATATATAACCTCTGTGGAAGACAGAATTTTGAATATTAATTAAAGATGAAGTTTGACCAATTGCTTCCAAAACCTTAACTGGATGGAATGGAACCTTTTGATGTTCTAAGTATCAAAGATCTATTAATCAACAAAACAATGCAGCCAATTTAATAATCAAAAGTACTCAGTTTACCGCAAAAAAATCTTCAAATGTGAAGTCTGCATAACCTAAACTCTGAAGTGTTTTTCTGCATTCTTCCACATTGGCTGTGATGCGATCAACTTCTGCTCGATCTTGTGATTTCAGAATATGCTCCTAATGTTGGTAATTAACAATCTTTAATAGCTAAAATTACAGGAACTGAATTTTCCTCTAGCCACAGGCACAAAGGTTGAGATACTAAGAAGTGCTTGTAAGACGTAAATACAAAAACATACAAGGTAAGCAAACATAAAGCTTCGAAAAAAGCAGTTTCCATCTCCCCTTGTTCTCCTGATGGAAGCATACCGTTCACTCAGTACCTGCATAAATGTGCAAATATATTTAAGTAGCCACAAGATGCAAGAACCAAAAAGCTAAAATGGCATGAAACCTTTATTTTCTCAAGCAAAATACTACTTCCTGACTGATATTCAGCTTCCAATGACAAGAGAGGTTCCTACAAGTACATTGCCATGAAGATTATTAGTTTTTACATGTAAATTCATTGAATAATTGAAAATTGCATAATATGATAAAGATAAGAATTTTGATATCTCCAGAGAAAGGGGAGCAAGGTGGAGTGGTGGAACAATTTCCACTTTACTGCACCATACATTTCTAAACAACAGCACTGGTGAAAAATAAAATGCAAACTAAACTTTAAGATTAGCAATGATCAATCAAAAGAAAAGACCAACTACAATTCTAATTGCCAAATCTTTAGGTATCAAATTACAATGTAGCTTGCTCAGAAATTTAGGCTCCAGTAGACTGCCCCACTGAAAGCTGCTGTCAAACTAATCAGAGATAGAATTCCAACCCAACAGGAGTTAACATATTCTTATTCAGCATATTTCAGTGGTTATATGAATTATATGCAAAAAAGAATGGTCGATGATTTACGGCTACTGAAGAAAGAAATGTCATGTTTGGTTTGTGTTCCGGAAACAGTTTTTTGTTCTCAAAATTTTAAAAACACCAAAAACCTTACACTTGTTTTTAGAGTTTTCTTTGAAAATTTTGGAAACAAGAAAAACAATTTTGGATCTTTAGATATGGGTATATATATATATTGGTATACACGTATATATACCAATATATATATAAATATGTAAATATTATATATGTAAATATATATATATATATATATATTATATATACATATATAATATTTTATATATTATCCAAACAGGTTTTACTATTTTCTGTATTGTAAAATTGTTTTTGAAATCATCTAACCAAACAAGTTGTTTATCTCAAAAAATGTCAAAACCACTTTCTTAAAACTCTTCTCAAAAATTGTTTTCGAATATTATTTTTTGAAACGCAAACCAAACAGGCCCAAAGTGTCTGATCATATGATTGATCATAGGAAGCATGTATAGTATAACTTTTTTTTCGTTTTTCCTACATTAGCAAATGATAATGAGAAAGTAACAGTTAACTAAGTATTAAATGGAAGATTCGTGCGAGCACCTGGGAGCGTGGGGGGAGAAGAATTTAACATGCAACAACATTCCCCTCCATTACCATCCAACATATAAACAAATTGTGGTATTCAGGGAACAAAAACATATCAGATACCGTCAAATAGCACTTGTTAAACTGAATCAGAAAACATTAACCAAGCAATAATCAATTTAAACTTATGTAGACAAAGGTTTATCGTTCAGTGCCAGATGATGTTCTTGCCTTGTCACCCACAAACGGAATTTTCTCAGCTTCCTCAGCCAGGATAGCAGATTGCTGTTGCATAATATCATTGTCCCTGAAATTTGTCCAATCGTCAACTTCAGATGCTTGAACAGATGTCATCTCGGCATCTGTTAGAAGCCCCTCCTGTTTATGCATCTCCATCTTTGGAGATTAGAAAAAATCACGTGCTTCTCCAATCAACCTTGAATGGGAACAGAAAATCATATCATGTGCTAGCTTTAATCTGAACTAACAATTTGTCAGCAGCAAAAATATGAAGGATGGGAAGTTTTCCTCTGCCCATAAGTAAAATGCATCCAGAAAATCTTAGTAGCAATGAAGGTTGAAACAAATATAATTTTGGAACATGAAGTATGGTTATAGATATAGGTAAAAGGGGGTTAAAGGCATTTAACAGTTGCAAAGGCAGGTTAACTACATGTAGTTGGTGGAGCTTTTTCACACGTTTCCTAAAACATCTAAACATTACCTACTTTAGCTACTTCAACATAAATTATGATATTAAAAAAAAGGGTTAAAAACAACCTTTAAAGGAATGTGGGCTTTCCATCAAAAGCCTTGTATATCTCAACCATATTTTGTCATTCACCAACAGAAAAAAGACTGGGGGAATAATATGCCAAAGATCATCCATGGCATCAAAACTATAAAATCCTCTTGATAGATAAAAGGAAATGGGGTGTCATAACAAAGATAAATTTCCCTCAAAACAGATTCAATTTTGGAATCCTTACAACAAAAGCATAAATAACGTAAAGACTACTTAAGCTAATAAGATCCACTGGCAAGCCAAGAACAGCTCTCTCTCTCTCTCTCTCTCTCTCTGTGAAAAAAAATCAAAGAGTCATGTACACAATATATGCACACACGTGACACACTGGAAGAACAAGGAACCATCCCCAATTCGAGTTTGACAGAGCACAACTGTATTTTCTAAAACTGAAGCCTTAAAAGAAGCACCTGCACTTAGGAGTCTTGTCCAAACATGTTTTATAACAAAGATATTAAAAGATGTACATGTCTCCAATTCATTCAAATATCTCCGGCACTTGCAAATTTTTCATCGAAACAATATTAAAGTCACATAAATTGATAATTCATTCTGCCTCCCCTGCCACTCTAAGTCATTTTCAAATTAAAAGATTCTCCAATACACAGTCTATTCTCACGCAACTCTCAATTTTAGAGAGTCAACCATAAAAAATCAAGTTTCAATAGACTCTCTATTTAGACCAGCAAAAACATAGTTCAATTTGGCTTTCTACATTTAAAGAGGCAAACTCCCTCTCTACTCTATAATTAATGAATGAAAAGATAACAGATATACCTTTTTCATTAAATGGTCTAAGTATAAATACTATTTTTCTATTAGAATAGAGAGTTCTATTGTAATTACTACAAAAAATTTCCGATCTATTTTAACTTTTTATCAAATATGCTCTCTACTATAAAAAATATGGTCTCTATTTCCTAAAATAGAGACACTATTGGAGATGCTCTTACACATTGACACACAATTTTAAAAATTGAATAATCTAGTGTGTCAATTTTTCCCTATCTACAACGTCAACTATTAGATTATAGTCCATTCATGCCTTTCCAGTTCCCACCATTGTTATCAAAATTGTAAGATTCGCGATTCAATTTGTACAATTCGATTCGATTTAGTCCCCATTTGATTCAATTTAGTCCTCATTCGATTCATATCTTACTATAGAATCATTTTCGGTCGGGAATCGTACAATTCGATACAAATCGAAGGAATCACACGATTTGTTTTATTTTCTTTTTTAACCCTATTTTTAGTCAAACGATGTTATTTTGCTAAAAGAGTCGCACCCCCAAATATAAAACTTGTGTCTCTCTTTATCTCCTGTTCGTGCCTCTGCCTCTCGCAGCGACTGTTATAGTGTCTATGAACATCACACAGAAACGGCGTCTCCTTCACTTCAAATATGGCTTTTCTTCTTCAACAACATCTACCAAACCCTAACACACCCTACATCTTCTTCAATACATACTCTTTTTTTTTGCTTTTCATCAAAAATTTATTTTTTAATCAAATATGGGAAGTAATTTCTAAATTTATATGTTTGAATCAGTATGAACTTTTCTTATTTTAGTTAACTTCATTAGTATCAGGAAGACATAACTATTTTATCGTGGCAATTTTGATGGAAAGATTTATTATACATTACGAAATAAGTAAAAGAGGTACACACTCAAGTGTAGCTTCCTATTATTGTATCGTGAATATACTCAATTGTTTATTTTTAAAATACAATAATGTTCAATATTTAATTATTTAATATCTTGCCTATTTTAAACAGATAGATGTTATTTTTTTTTTATCTTTGTTCGAATTTTGTATCAAATCTTATGATTCACAATCCGATAAATCTAGAATTTCGATTCCCGATACGAATATCGATTTAATAACTATGGTTCCCACTACCTAGAACCATACTATATCCAACAATCCTTTTAATAAATTAGTCTTCCTCACAAGTAGATTTGGTTGGTGTTGCTTGTAGTTTGACAAACCACTTTATGGAATTTTCTATCACATTGTCCTCAACTGCTACGATCAGCATTATTATTCGTTGGGTTTCAAAATAGTCCAAACTTCAAACCTATGATTTGTGTTCTCATGATTTCAATAGGTTTGTCCATCTTGATAAGGCATCTTGGAGAAAGTCACAAAAGTGGTCAAAAATTCTAACATGTAATAGGGGGAGAGAGAAAGAGACAACAAGGAGGTATTCAAGAAGAGTTAAGAAGTTGTTCTCTACAATGGTAGGTAAACGCCATTTGAAGTCTAGGTGTAAACCAAACCAAGTAGCCTATGCTTACTTCGAAGTCTAGGTGGTAAGTCAGTAGAGTTGGGTAAAATTTTTACTTGTATCTAGCAAGGGATACTTCCTCCATGTTTATATCCTAGTAATTTGTCCCTTGCAACAAGCAGCCTCTATTGCTGTTTTCTGCATGTAGCGAGGTTTAAAAACGATTCATGTGAACTTTATGTGTTGCTTGTTTGCTAAATTGTTCATCATCATTCTTTGTACTCCTTGACATTCTTTCATAAAATCCTCGGGGCACTGAAGCATTCTTTAAATACCGAATCATCTTGCATTGACATTCATCCTTCCCAACAGGATGAAAGATCACATGGGTGGCATTTAATTTCTGACTGATCAATTTGCATAGTTAACATCATATCACTATCAAATAATCTTATAATGCACTTCTAGCTGTAATGATGAAATGACCCATCCAATAGAATTCTACATCGAAACAGGTTAAGGGTATACCAGTTATGAGTGATTAGCGAAACAAGAAAAGGATGATACACAGATCAATAATCTATTTACTTCTTTGTCCAATCTAGGTAAAGGCAGAAAGACATTCAAGCAGTTATGACTCCATATAGCATATTATCTATGAAATGCACAAAAAATAACAATAATGTGCTAAATGATAAACATACTGACACATCACATGTCGAAATAATGACGTCAAACAGAATCATATAATTTGTATTTTTATAGAAAAATTTAAAATGTTACATGAAATTTCCTCCTCTAATCTAATCCCTATAAAGCATTTCTTGCGATCAGAAGTTTTAAACACTAAAATCTGACTTCTGTCTAGAAAAATAAAATAAGAAACAATTAGGTCTGAAGGAATTGCACTAACCAGCAAGAGATATATAGAGATTGAAGGGGATCTTTTGAGAAAGTAGAAGAAGAGATTCTGATCTGTGTTCCTTCCTAGATGTAGCAGGAGCAAGAAAAACAAGATAGGCAAAAACGATTTGACCGATGATTTGTGTGCGTGCTCTTGTGTGTGTGTGTGTGTGAGAGAGAGAGAGAGAGAGAGAAGGCAAATTGGGTGAATTAAAGAGGTAGTTACTGGTAGTAAAATCAACGCAAGTGCACTGAGAGAGAGTGAGAGAGAGAGGAGAGGAGAGGACACGCTCCTGGTAGAGCCCTGGTACGGGTTTTAAACGAATCAGGTTGATTCATTTGGTGTAGAAAATTTCAAAAGACGAACTTGCTATGCTATTAAACAGGTTACCCAAATTTGACATATTTTATAAATAAGTTATTTTTTGAGTTAACACATAAGATGACATGTTTAATACACATAATTTGTTTTAATATCTGTTTACTACTATTAAATATATCATTTAATTTTTCATTCAAAATTTTAAATAATTTTTTCACCAATAATATATTACATTTCATCAATAAAATTAACTAAAACGCATTTAAGTTACAACCCAAAAATTAAAACAAAAACTATATTATTATAATGTCATAATAATGTTAAGAACTATATTGTTAATTGTTATAGTTGAAATAATAATTAATAAGTAATAATGTTAAGACCACATCAGTCATACATAATAGATAAATTATATTGTTATAAAGAGTTTAAACGGGTCTATACTGAATTAGGTTGGATTTGTATTCAAATCACATAAATCTGTTTAAAATATGCGGATTAATCAAGTTAAAATTAGGTTGATCTAATTTTGACATGAATTCGACATTTTTTTTTCGTGTTTAAGCATGTTAATTCGTTTTTACCCATTGACTCGTTTAAGTACATAACTCTTTATGCTTTGTAAAGGAGAGAAGTTATGGAAGATTTGACGCCAAAATACATCATTTTTCCTTAGTTACCCTTAGAACTTATCTCACGTGAGTCATGCGTGTGTTTGTCCGACATAGTAAGTAGCTGAATCGGATGGAAGGACTTGATTGACACACATTGACAAGTTGAAGGGCTAAATTGACACAAATCAAAGTTGGGGGCTTAATTAACTTAAACTATATAGTTTAAGAACTAAATAGGTAGTTAACTCTTATTTATGTGCTTTGGAAATGAAGACTAAGGAAATTATGAAAAGAGGGAGAACTAATACTATTATTTGCATATAAGATAAGTAATATTTGTATATAAGATAAGTAATATTAGATTGATGGAGTTTTTAAAAAATTTTGAACACTTTATTGAAAATATAATAATACCTATTTTTTAAAGGTAATATAGTCGATCAAATTTTTTATATAAACTAATATTTATACATATAAAATAGATAATTAAAAGAGATGTTATAAATACATAAGGATATGATAATAATTTAAGTATTTAATTATGAAAGAATATAGTGATTTTTGCAATATTTTATAAGGGTACAATAGAGATTCAAAAAATTTTTGTTAATAGTATTGTATAGGTAGATGTATGCTATGTGTGAGTTATAATGTGTGTTTGGTATCTGCCTTTATCGGAAACAACTAGAAGCTAATCTAATAACACATATATTTATACTATTTATAAATGTCAGTATTTGTGTGAAAAAATTTTGATTTTTTATTTTATTTTTAATTATTATCATAAAATCAATTATATTCACGCATGTTCTTATTAATGTTATTCTTTTTCCTTACCGGTCCTATTAGCTTACAAATTTCATTTGAACCAACTCCCTTCTTATCAACTAACGTTTAGGTTTTTATTTATTCATTTCTTCTATAGAGTTAAATCTTTAATTACAATTATAACTTTGACAACTCTAATGATTATATAATACAGGTATATAAATAACATGATCAATAATTTTATTAACATATAATTGACATATTAGATTCTACTGTCAAATATATTTCATATATACTTGATTTTTGGGTATTCAACAATATCTTAATATTAATACAAATAATAGTATTACAATCTAATTGATGTCTTTGTTAATAAAAATATAATAAATTGATATAATAAATACTCAATAATGACAATTTTTAAGCTCCACTATAAAAAAACAAAGAAATTTCTAAAAAGGTCGGAGAGATACCTAAAAATGACAGATTAGGTACTCTAAGAGAGATAGAATAGATTAATAATTAAATTTAGTAATAATTAAACAAGAATGAATTATTTGACATATAATTTATTGTTCAATTTTAATTACAAATATAAGTTAATTTTTTATAAAAAAAATTATTTTTATTTAAATATGTTCACGTGCAAATAAATGTCAACATTTATGAAAAACTGCTGATTTTTTATTTTATTCTTAATTATTATTATAAAATCAATTGCTCACATATTTGTTTTCATCCAATTTTTAATGTTTTCAGTCTTTTTTAAATTCTTTTAGACTTTTATTAGTAGTATTTGACTTCTAAATTTTTTTGAACTCATTTATTGGTAGTACACTTACATATAATTTCTATATCTATATTTTATTTATATAAAAAAATAAAATACAATATATATTCTATTATTATATACATGTTGTTGGCAAATTGAATGTTATTGTCAAATATATGTCACATTTATTTATTTTTTAATATGTAATAATATCATAATATTATGATACAAACTATTCAAATATACAAATACTCAAGAATGACAATTTTATAATAAAATTTCACTATAAACAAAAAAGAACATGTTTAAAGAAGTCGAGAAAATGCCTAAAAATTAACAAATTAAGTACTCAAATAAGAGTAGAGTAGATCAATAATTAGGTTTAGTAATGATTAACATAAAATTTAATTATTTGACACATAATTTATTATTCAAATAAATTACAAATATAAATTAATTATTTTATAAATATTATTATTTAAATATATTCACGTACAATGCACGCCATGCATTACTAGTCTCCTCAAAAGGCATCAGGGTTATCATGCAGGGAATCAAATGTGCTCAATTTTATCTAATTGTTTGATTGTTTATGTGATTCGGATGCACAATGAGTTAATCTAATCTATGCATAAAGATAAAAAGATAGTGCGTGAGGTATTTTTAGCTACTGTGGGATATGAGAAAGATTAGATATATGTATTTTTACTTTGTTTGTAGAGGGACATTAAATAATTTTATCTCCAAATTTAATAAAATCTCTCATAAGATACAAAGATTAATTTAGTTAAATTAGTGACTAAATTTGAAAGATGTGACTAATATTAAGAATAATGACAAATACTAAGTGATGGTCCCAGATCACAAATGATGGGTCCAGACTAGACTTAAATCAAACATGCAGACCAAATTTAGTTCAAATATACGGGCCAAGTCTATCATAGGATCAAGGAAGTTTAGTCGGGTCAACTTCGCTATCTTGAGAGACTCAATTCAACACACGTGGAGATCTTTGTGAAACGTATTCATCGGGTGCACGTCGCCACCTCCATGCAACTACTTTGATTGTTACGAGAATAGTGCCTCAAACTGTTATAAAGACACTTATAAATTGTAAGCCCCATCTTTACAAAAGGGCATCACTCACATCTGAGTGTTCTACACTCCTTGAATAATAAAATACTATGGTTACCATGGAACCCTTCATAGTGAAGTAGATCATCCTGACCATACTACTTAATTTGTGTTTACTTGTATTGAGTATTATTCTTAATTACTGTATTAAATGATTGATAAGTGGTGCATAAATACATTTTGTGTGTCGTCACTAAAGATCATTGTCGTGTTGCAGGGGATGATAAAACACTATATTAAGTGTGTAAAGAATAAAGTTTAGCATTATTTAGCTCCATCAAGTTGAGACACTAGTTATTCTCTAATTCACCGTTTTTAGTAACTGAAATAAAAAGTTGAGATGCTAGTTTAACTAAATTGTATTTTTGATCAATCTTAATTTTGTATCTATATATCGCATTCTTAAATGTGACATATATTTTTTGTGGAATTTAATTCTCAATACATCGAATATGATATTTTATTCTTTAAAATATAAATTTGTGAATACGACATTCGAGTACAAATTTAAAATTTGTCGACATTAGAAAATTCAATTTAGCTAAACTAGTCTAAAGACCAAGGCTCATTTTGACCTCATGAGAGATCACCGGAGGTCAATCATATAATAGTTAAGGATCAAGATTTCGTTTTATTGTAATATTTTGATAAATTTGAAAATAGAAACATTTCGATTATATTTTAAAAATATTTTGAAAACAAGATGTAAACAAAGAAAAATTGTAAAAATTTATTTTTAAAAAATTGATTGAAACAGCAAAAATATTCTAAAACACAAGTCAAAATACACTGAAAACTTCAAAATACACAGAAATATCTGTAAATATAAAAATTTTAATATTTAATCATTGAATTCGTTTTCATTTTCATAAAAACGAAAACGTTGGACCATTCCGAAAATGAAATTAGTTCACGTGATTGTTGCCGACGAGGAGCTATAAATATCACCCGGACTTTTACCTTTCGAGTTCGAACTGGACACTCGTCAACTAACTTTGGATCGATGAGCGTCGATTTTAATTCGGGTTCAAGTTGAAGCATCTAAATTTACGGAGGTTTAAGATTTAATACAATGGAACGGAACGTATCTACTTGATGCTTAATAGCAATTAGTCCGTTTATCACTTCCTTTTCCTGAAGGTGGGGGGAAGAAAAAGGGTAGAAGAAGACAGAAAAGGCCGTGTCTGGATTTGGGGAAGCCATGAAACCTGTCATTTTTTCGTTTTTTTTTTTTGAAACCTGTCATTGATCAACTATCCTGTGCTTCAAAGTTCTGACACAAAATGGTCAGCTGAGCCAATGGAATTCACAGCACCACACCCGAAAACAGTTCTATTTCATATTAACACTTCCTTCAACAACCATAGAAAACCTCATCCATACATGACCTGCAACACACACATCAGTCCCAGGGTAAGCACCCATCGTCCCTGTCCCTCCAAGCTTTCAATTCCAATTCAGTTGCTTCTACTCAGACCCCAGTACAAACAACCCCAACCCATCAAATCACCCACCAAGAAAAGCACCACCACCTCAGACGTTTTGCGTTTGATGAACAGTTTGAACCTTCCCATACCAAAGACATCTACATTTCCCTCATCAAAGAATGCACCGAAACCGGAGACCTTAACGGAGCCATGGAACTAGATGCCCATCTCAACCAAAGTAGTTTTCGCCACCATTTGCCATTGCTTAACCGCCTCCTGATTATGTATTTGTCTTGTGGTTTTATCGAAAATGCCCACCAATTGTTTGATAGAATGCCCATTAAAGATTTGAACTCTTGGGCTGCAATGATTTTCGCTTATGTGGATGAGGAAAAGTATGAGGAAGCTATACATTTGTTCATAAAAATGCAACACATATACCAATACCATTGTAATGAAGGAATTCTCAAATTTCCGGTTTCATGGATTGTGGTATGCATTTTACAGGCATGCGTTAGTACAATGAACTTGGAGTTTGGGAGACAAATACATGGCTGGTTAATGAAGGCAGGCTATTCCAATGATCTGTTTTTGAGCAGCACCTTGGTTAGCTTTTACGGGAAATTGGGATGCTTAGAAGGTGCTGACTTTGTTTTTGATCAAACTTCTGGACGAAACACTGTTGTTTGGACGGCTTACATTGCCAATTATTGTAAGGAAGAGCGTTTCGATGAAGTTATTGGTGTGTTTAAGGAGATGGGGAGGGAAGGAGTGAAGAAGAATAGCTTTACGTTTTCTAGTGTTCTCAAGGCCTGTGGAAAGTTGAGGGATGATGGATACTGTGGTCGACAAGTCCATGCCAACACGATAAAATTAGGGGTTAATTTGAAAAGTTATGTGCAGTGCGGATTGGTTGACATGTATGGGAAATTTGGGTTAGTGAGAGATGCTAGAAGGGTGTTTGAGATGAATGGTGTAAAGAAAAATGCTGCATGCTGGAATGCAATGCTTAACGCTTACATACAACATGGATGTTGCATTGAGGCTGTTAAGGTACTTTATGAGATGAAGGGAGGTGGCTTAGAACCAAGGGAATCATTGGTCAATGAAGTGCGGTTTGTTTGTGGTAGTACAAATCTGGAAAATAAGTTCGATAAGATGTTTTAATAGAATTTGTATTTGAATGCAGCTGGAATGCCAGGTTTTCCTCTGTTAACTGCTCCCAATCACTGGCTGGTGGTTCTTATCTTTTCTATGGAACTTTGGAAGCATCCTGGCATGGCAATTCCACAATTGGCTATACCTGGGATGGATACTGATACTTGTTTTTGATAGATTGCTATATTTCTGGAGATTTTACATTCTTTCAAGGCTTCAGATATGAGAGATTGATTGCCATATTTCTGGGTGTTGGAGCAGCATCTTTCTGATGCAGCAAGTGTAGAAATTGCAATAGGTATGTGAACGGTAGTCTTGGCTGAGTGTGTCTATAATTTGTATATTAAGAATTTGGCGCAGTGGTTAAGTTTATTCCATTTATCACCTGGGTATCACAGGTTTAAGTTGCGAAAACAATCTTTGCACATAGGTCTAGACAGCATACATATCTAGTTCTCGTCGATCTCCAAAGTGGTGAAAGCCTCATACATTAGGCTGTCTTTTCTATTTATGTTGTTGCTGTTGTAACTTGTAACTGGTGATAGGATGAAGTGTAGCATTTAATGAATTGCCGATGGGTGAGTATGCATGTATGACATCATTTTTATATCCTTCGGCCTGAAGTGAATACGAAGGAATTGTTAGTGAGTTATCTGCTGATGTATGTTTGTAGCCAACCCCCCCCCCCCCCCCCCCCCCCCCCCCCCTTCACAAACTAAAACAACAAAAAAAAAAAAAAACCCTACTAGTGCCAGCTCCATTCCATATATTGATAGAGTCTAACGTACCATTTTGTACTAGTTTTTCTAAAGCTATGTCTTTTAAAAGTAATTTCGTCAAAAAAACCAAAATATATAACTAATATAAAAGTAATTCATATGCATCTTAGTATACCAATAATATATATATGTGTGTGTTATGCACCCCTCTTTCGGGCTTCTTTTCACCATTCTGTCTGCTATTGATGCATCCTTCAATTAATTCTTCGTTAAATAACTCGAGTTGGTAATGGATCAGACTAGTCCACTAGTCAATGGTTGAGGTGACACCTTACATCAGTTTCGTTTTCTGGTCAACAGCCCAGACCATACTAGTAAGACCATATATATGTATATGCATGAGAGTGTGTGTACTATAATTTATGCACCCCTCTTTCGGGCTTCTCTGTAGCTGTCTACGCGTGGTTTATGCTTTGCTATAGGTGCAGTTTTCAAAAGTTATAATAGTTTTCAAAAAAACTAGGCCTAGCAATGAGTTAGGTCAGATCAAGTCAAGCCAGGTGAGATTCATATCATGTCTTAGTTTTGTTATGTCAAAATTTTGTCAACCCAATGTATTGCATCAGATGTGCTTCGTGTCATATTTGATTTGAATCACGTATTCATAATATTTTCTCAATTTTATATCAATCTATTTTGCAAGTGAGTTTAGAAGTATACTCGCTTATCACTTGGACTCATTTAAACTAAATCTAAACCCCATATTAGTTACGTATCATACTTGCACATCATGTCTGAAATTATTATGCTTAGTCTAAACTCAATGTCTTTTGAACGAACGTAAATTAGGAAGCAAGCAGTCAGTGACAAACTATAAGTTTGAATTAAATCAAGCCTATGTTGTGAAATTGAATACTATGAAGTTCTTATCTTAATATTAAGATTTCATTCATAAATTTTATCACAACAATGGAGGGAGGAAAAAGTCGAACCACTGATCTGTAGGAGGGCTTTATCATTGTTGGTTGTGGTGTTCCAAATATAGTAGAATCACTTATTGAAGTTTTTGATTTGAAATAAGTAAAATAGTAACAAACAGGTATGAAACACGAAAGAGTTACACATAATTTGTTTGTTTAAACAATATAAATACTAACCCAATTGTAGAACATGAACTATTATTGAACTATAGGTAGATCAAGACTAGTGTTTGACACTACGTCCTTAAGGCATATTTCGCCCCCACACACGGTGCTTATGGAATACCGAGCGTCTGCCTCCTAGGATATAATGATCTTTACACGAACAGAAGTAGCACTCCAATCTGCTCGTCCAACAAACCAATATTGTGTTGTGTACTCTATCTAAATGCACTGTCTTAATGCCGAAATGTAGAATGTTTAATGCCTTAATGGACTGATTCATTGAATGAATAAAATGAATGCATGAACTGGGTATTTATAGATAGTCTGGTGACTGTTCAAACAGCCACCATACTAAAGGACACAATCCAGAAACAAAAAGTCGACCAGTCAGTGGACACCTTTAATAACTGTTCTATATGAACAGTCATAATTCAATTTTGGACCGATCCAGTGGGTACCGAACTAATTTCGGGTTAAGAAATTCTCGCTCATTAATTAAATGAATTTTATTCAAAAATATAAGGCTTGGTCTAAACCACACCCGAGCCCGACCCGGCCCAGGCCGGGTCATGGCCAGGCGGGCGAGCAGCGCGTGCGTAGTTGAACCGAAGGCATGTAGGTGCTCACTCCGCTTATAAAACTGTGGTACCCTTTGGGGTCCAATCCCATAGAGCAAACTTGACCTATATATGCTTATGTTGAATTTCTTCCTTAACCAATGTGGGATTAGTGTCACATCCCACATTGCACTTCCTTTATTTTCATGTTTTCAGAGAGTTACTTTGGAGCCTATTTTCTCATTCATTTCTTACTCGATTTGAGCAAGTGAATATATTATATTATTTACCTCACGGAGTAGAATATGAACCCATAAAATTTTATTTAAAATAACAATTGGGTCCCATTTTAATTTAGACTCAAAGTCGGCCAAAAACTCAGTTTTTACACTCAAAAAACTGTTTTGGTCCAACAATCCCCCACATGAATGGAAAATTGGTTGTTAGTATACAAATGATAATACTGACACACTATAGAGAATACATCTTTAAAAAAATCATGCATCGAGATAAGTAGCTTTTGGCCTTGAACCTTCCCTAGTAAAAAGCTCATCGGACTTACCGGCTAAATAGTGAATGTGATGTCTTGAACTATTCAGCTATTTGATAAATCAGATCAAATAAACTTCACACAATCTCTTTCCTAACATAATTGGTTCTTATGATTGTGTTCATTTTGGCCCTGAAAAACTACTGGTTTTCATGAGTGCTTTAGAGGATTTAGCCTTTACAAATTCTCATAGAAGCGGCCCCTTCACACCCATATATGTGACTCCTATTAGGAATATCCTGCAATATCCCACTTGAATTTACCAAGGTATAAGAGTTATTCAAAGCATAACTTACCCTAATAAACTTTGTAGGCAGCACTAGGTTATCATAGGAATAGTACCCTAAAGAGTTAGTGCTTCTTTTGAATCACGCATAACTCGGTTGTCTCGTTGAACCTAGATCTTGGGATCTCCAGTTAACTAGGTTAGGTTGCCATTAAGGTGACTCTTGTGTTATAGACTTTAATCTCATTCCCATCGATGTGCAATTTACTTGCTCTCTTGTCAAACCTTTTGTAAACGGATCCACTAGATTATCCTTTGACTTTATATAATCAATGGAAATAATCCCATTTGAGAGCCATTGCCTAACAGTATTATGTCTACGACGTATGTGTACAGACTTACTATTATACATGTCACTCTGTACCCCACCAATTACAGAATGGCTATCGCAATGTATACAAATTGCTGGCATAGGTTTAGGCCATATTAGAATATCTTCTAGAAATTGGCGAAACCACTCAGCTTCCTTTCCTGCTTTATCTAAAACAATAAATTCAGATTCTATTGTGGATCCGGCAATACACGTTTGCTTAGAGGATTTTTAAGATACAGTTGCACCACCAACTGTAACAATATAACCACTTGCGAATTTTGTATCCTTCATATCAAATATCCAGTTTGCATCACTATACTCTTCAAGTACAGCTGAATATCTTGTATAGTGCAATCCAAACTTTAGGGTATATCTTAAGTATCTAAGAACCCTGATAATTGTCTTCCAATGGTCTACTCCCGGATTACTTGTATATCTACTCAATTTACTAACTAAGTATGTTATATCCGGTCTAGTGCAGTTCATAACATACATTGGACTGCCAATAATACGAGAGTAGTCCAATTGTGATATGTTTTGACCAATATTTTTAGACAAATGAAGATTTGTATCAACTGGTGTTCTAGCAATGCTACTTTCATATTTGTCGAACCTTTCAAGTATTTTCTCAATATAATGTGATTGAGATAATATAAGTCCACCATATGTTCTAAAAATTTTAATTTCTAATATAACATCTGTAACACCCAAATCTTTCATGTCAAACTTACTGGACAACATTTTCTTGGTAGTTATAATAATATTATTATTACTACTTAAAATAAGCATATCATCCACATATAGACAAACAATGACATATTCATTATTTGTGTCTTTAATATAGACACGTTTATCACATTCATTAATTGTGAAATCATTTAACATCATTACCTTGTCAAATTTCTCATGTCATTGTTTTGGTGTTTGCTTTAAACCATAAAGTGATTTAACAAGTCTAAACACTTTCTTTTCTTGTCCCGAAGAAACAAACCCTTCAGGTTGTTCCATATAAATTTCCTCATTTAAGTCACCATTTAAGAAAGTTATTTTTATATCTATTTGGTGTATCTCAAGATTATGCAATATTGCAATAGCTATGAGCATACAAATAGATGTTATTCTCGTGACAGGAAAATATGTATCAAAGTAATCAAGACCTTCCTTTTGTTTATAACCTTTAGCTACAAGGCTAGCCTTGTACTTATTAATTGATCCCTCACTTTTCATTTTCATCTTTAAAATCTATTTACAATCTAATGGTTTACTCCCTGGAGGAAGATCTACCAACTTTCAGGTGTGATTTTGCATGATGGATTCAATTTCACTGTTTACAGTTTCTTTCCACATAGGTGCTTCAGGAGTGGACATTGTTTCATTGAAGCTTTGAGGCTCATTTTCTAACAAATATGTTAGAAAATTTGGACCATAGGACTTGAAAGTCCTTACCCTCTTACTGCGTCTAAGTGTCTCTTTACTTTCTTCATTTATAGACTCATTGTCTATATTGCTAGTCGCAGTATCATGAGCTCTTTTAAGAGAACTCCCATCACATGTATTTTTACTAGGAAAGATATTTTTAAAAAATGATGCATTTCTTGACTCAATGATTGTATTGACATGTATATCAGGAATATCAGATTTATGCATAAGAAAACGATATGCACTGCTATTTATTGCATAACCAATAAATATACAATCAATAGTCTTAAGTCCTATTTTAATCTTTTTGAGAATAGGAACCATCACTTTAGCCAAACATTCCCATATTTTTAAATATTTGTAGGAAGGACTCCTTTCTTTCCATAAATAATAAGAGGTGTTGTCTAACTTCTTGTGGGGTAGTCCATTTAAAATATAATATGCTGAAAGCAAAGCTTCCCCCCACAAGTTTTGAGGTAATCCTGAAGTAATCAACATGACATTCATCATCACTTTCAAAGTTCTATTTTTACGTTCAGTAATTCTATTTTGTTGAGAAGTATAAGGCGCAGAAGTTTGGTGAATAATACCATGTTCTTGATAGAATCGATCAAAAGGTACATCATATTCAGCACCTCGATCACTTCTTATTGCCTTAATCTTTTTGTCAAGTTGATTCTCAACCTCATTCTTATAGTGCATAAATTTTTCTAATGCTTCATCTTTACTCCTTAGTAAATATACATAGCAATATCTTGTGCAATCATCAATAAATGTAACAAAGTATTTTTTCTCACCTCTAGTTTTAACATATTTCAAATCACATGTATCACTATGAATTAATTCTAGAGGTTCAGTACTTCTTTTAATATTATGAAATGATGCTCTAGTTAATTTTGATTCAACACATGCCTCACATTAATGATTTGCATTAATATTGAATTTAGACAATAATTCTAAATTCATTAATTTACGCATAGTATCAAAATTAACATGTCCTAATCTACCATGTCATACATTGAAAAACTCAAGCATATAAGCAAAAGATGTGTTCTTTTTATTAAAATCAGATACAATTGTCATTACATTCATCTTAAAGAGCCCATCGCTCATATATCCCTTACCCACATAAATCTCACTCTTGGTGAGTACAAATTTATTGGACTCAAAAACCAACCTAAAATCCTCCTTACTCAACAACAATCCAGACACAAGATTCTTTTGAATTTCTGAAACATGTAACACATCATTGAGAGTAAGTTCTTTTCCAGAAGTCATCTTTTAATGTAACCTTTACTTTGCCTTCAACTTTGGAAGTGGAGGAATTCCCATGAAGAGTTGTTCTCCATCACTCATTGCTTCATATGAAGAGAACATCTTCTTATCTGAACATATGTGTCCAGTGGCCCCGGTGTCCACCCACCATTCCTTGGTATTTTCCACCAAGTTCACTTTAGATACTACAGCAGAAAAACTTATGTTAGAAAAATTTTCAGAAAATTTTTCTACCTCGGTTATATTGGCTTGGGCAGCCTTCCTTTTGTGGTTCCCTTGTGCTTTACGGCTTCGACAATTCTTTCCATGATGCCCCGATTTATTGTACACAAAGCAGTTGCCTTTGAACCTTTTGGAATCACCACCCTTGGCCCTTTATTGGTCAACATACTTTCTTTTCTTGTTGGTTTTATGTCCCTCTTCAATTATATGTGTCTTTGACTCCATGAAATGATTGCCAAATTTTTTTTCGGAGACTATTATCCTCCTCAATCCTCAATCTCACGATCAAGTCTTCAAGTTTCATTTATTTGTGTTTGTACTTCAAATAATTTTTGAAGTCTTTCCAATTTAGCGGTAATTTTTCAATAATTGCAGCCACTTGAAAAGATTCACTAAGCACCATCCCTTCGGCATGAATCTTATGTAGGATCACTTGAAGATCTTGAACTTGATTTATGATAGTCTTGAAATCCACCATTTTGTAGTCAAGGAATCTGCCCACAACAAATTTCTTCATTCCGGCATCTTCCGTCTTGTATTTCTAATCCAAGGATTCTCACAGCTCTCTAGCCGTCTTGATTGGACTATACACATTATATAATGTGTTATCCAATCCATTGAGGATATAATTTTTGCATAGAAAATTATAATGCTTTCATGCATCCACCGCAGCAACAACTTGACAGTCAATCTCATTCTCACTATAAACAGAAGTATCCTCACAAAGAAACCTTGCAAGATTCAATGTAGTAAGATAGAACAACATTTTATGTTGTCATCTCTTGAAGTCGTTCTCATTGAACTTTTCGAATTTTTCCCCATGAGACACATGAATAGGAACAGAAATAGACATGACAGACACAACATGATTTGTAGTAGCAGGAACATTATTATCATTTGTTGTCATTTCTGATAAACAAAGATTTTAGACTATTTAAAATAGGAAAGCAATAACACTTTTCAAAGTAAGTTATTAAAATAGATTCAATGTCACCGTTTTGTGTAACACAGAAACAGAGTCACTGTTTGATGTAACTATTTGTAATAGAGTCACTGTTTTGGTGTAACAAAGTTACTGTTTGGTGTAATAGTTTGATGTAACTGTTTGAATTTAAACACAAAAAACAGAATATACAATTTTTCACAAATTTTCAAGTATGTTCAAAATATCACAGATTGTAAACAAAACAAGTTTTAACAATTTGTACTATTTTAGAATAGTCCAAACATTAAAACATGCATCAGAAACACAGTAAGCAACTATACAAATTCATAAATCTGTCTTAAGATTGTTGGTTGTGGTGTTCCAAATATAGTAGAATCACTTATTGAATTTTCTGATTTGAAATAAGTAAAACAATAACAAATAGGTATGAAACATAAAAGAGTTACAACAAAGAGTTACACGTAATTTGTTTGTTTAAACAATATAAATACTAACCTGATTGCAGAACATAAATTGTTATTGAACTTTAGGTAGATCAAGGCTAGTGTTTGACACTATGTTCTTAAGACAGATTTCGCCCCCTACACGGTGCTTATGGAATACCGAGCGTCTGCCTCCTAGGATACAATGATCTATACACGAACAAAAATAGCACTCCAATCTGCTCGTCCAGCAAATCAATATTAAAATGAATGTATGAACTGGGTATTTATAGATAGTCTAGTGACTGTTCGGACAGCCACCATACTAAAGGACAAACCATACAAAAGGACCACACCCGCACCCGAGCCTGGCCTGGTCGGGTCGTGGTCGTGGTGAGACAAGCAGGAGGTGCGCGCGCGTGTGGTTGAACCGAAGGCATGTAGGTGTTCGCTTCGCTCATAAAATTATGATACCCCTTGGGACCCAATCTCATAGAACAAACTTGGCCTATATATGTCCATGTTGAATTTCTTCCTCAACCAATGTAAAATTGGTGTCACATCCCACATTGCACTTTCTTTATTTTCATGTATCAAGAGGGTCATTTTAGAGCTTATTTTCTCATTCATTTCTTACTCGATTTGAGCAAGTGAATATACTACATTATTCTCCTCATGAAGTAGAATATGAACCCACAAAATTTTATTTAAAATAACAATCGGCTCCTATTTTTAATTTAGGAGGTAGCACTGTAAGACATTCAAAGAAAGACATTCAAAAGGAGGTAGCATTGTAATAGAACCAAAAGTACACAAGCACCATGCACAATAGTAGTAATATGTAGTAGGTTCACAAGAGGATTCTTCGTCAACTGCAAAAGAAAAATTCAAACAATTATAATTAGTAAAAATCTACCGAACCGATTCGATTAAAAAAAAAATTAAGCACAAGTTGTGGCGTAAAAGCTTCAAGTTACAACTCAATGACACCCAAAAATTGTATATCTTAATTTTTTTTATCAATCTCAAATTGACCATAATAAGTTATATAAATTTGGCATGTTTGATATGTAGATCTAATTTTGTGGGCTATATTTATATGGTCCCTTCCCCTTGAAATAATTTAAATCAAATCTTTAAACTTTATGAAGTCAATCAACTTCCTTACACCATCTAAGTGGCCCCATGACCATACCACAGTCATATTAACATAGTAGTAATAGTAATTTTTCTTTCAAAAACCACAAAAGAAAGAGGTAGATTTACGCACTTGAAGAGACTACTTCCTTGACTCGAACCCAACCTTATATATTGTAGTGTATGTGTATATATAGACACATGTTATTATATATACTTCTTGTTGAGAATCAACTAACCTGATATCATTGCGTATTGAAGATCGAAGAATAACATCCCCGATGGAGTACAACTCAGATACAACATTACTAATGTTCATTCGTTCTTCTACGGAGTGTTTTGAACAGGCAACATCAACTCCAAACAACGAAATCAGCCACTAGTGATGATCCTTTTGAATTCTACAACTGAGGCGTTGATGTCTTCTAGTCTTAGTACTACTGTTGGCACTACTTGTAATCTCTTCCTCTTCCTTGAACTCCTCAACAAGTATTGGATCCATAATCTCCACTACTCGATCAGGCAAAGCTGCCACAACATAGTTATGAAGGTTCAATCCATCTCTAAACATGTTGTCTGTAGGCCTCTTCCCTGTGAACATTTCCAACAGAAGGATTCCAAAGCTATAGAGATCGCCCCATCGCCACCACCACCATCATCGTCACCGCCACTACCATCACCACCGTCACCGTCGTCGTCGCTGCCACCACCATCATTGTCGCCACCGCGGTCACCACGATCATTGCCAACCACCACAACAATCTCCGTCTCCTACCACCACCATTGCTACTCACCACCTCTCACCCCCACTACAAACTAATGCTTAAATTTCTTTATCTCTTTTCTATATTTGTGATTTGATTTTGGATATAAATATAAATATGTTTATTGTTTATCATTTTTTATTACTCTATTGCCTTTAGGCACAGACAATAACTAGTATATATATATATGAAAGAGAAGAAAAATAACAAAAAAGAATGAATTAGACAACATTGTAAAGTAAAAATTATTTATCACCTGGAGCAGCATAACCAGTCGATCCTCTTGCACCAGTAGAACTTGTTGAACTTATTGACACATTTTGGGTGGTGGGTGTTAGAAGGAATCTTGCTATACCAAAATCACATACATGGCTAACCAACTCCCTGTCTAGAAGAACATTGCTTGGCTTTATATCCAAGGATGGATTTATTGGTGGGCTGAAGCCCAGGGTAAAAAAAAAAAAAAAAATTTACCCTTAAGTACCAGCTCAACCCTCTCCCAAAAAAAAATTTCATCCAACCCAACAATAACTAACCCAACCTAGCCCACTGCAAAGCTTCTCCAATCGGTCTTTCTCAGTCACTTCCCCCATGTCCTGTCTCTTCTCTCTCAATCTCAGGCGAATCACTTCCCCGAATCTTCGGAGAAGCAACGGCTCCATGGCAGGCGATGAGTCCCTTTGTGCAAACACCCTGGTTTGCGGGCTTCTTGAATCACACACAGGTTTGTTTTTTTCTCTGGTTGACGGACCACGGTGCTTCAGATTTCTCTGCAACTACAACTACAACGACTACAGATTTCTTGTTTGTGGGCTTCTTGAATCACATATAGGTATTGATTTTCTCTGCTTTAGATTTCTTGTTTTCCATATCCATTGTTTGTGATGTGCCGAACAAAGCTTTGTCACTAAGTGGGATTACCGATTACGGTTGCGGATATGCTTTGTCACTTAGTTCTTTTTGAACAAATCCCCTTTAACAAATCCCCTGTTCAATCCGCGGAGCCACATCAAAAAGAACAAATCCCACTTAGTGCTAATTAGGGGATTTGTTCAATAAGTTGTTTTTTCTTCAATAAGCTTTGTTCTTTTTGATGTGGCTCCGCCCTTGTTTGTTATCAGAGCTCTGAAGAAGTTGTGTCTAAGAGATTAGACTCTCACCCGAGTTCAATCTACAAGTTTTGAACTTATATGTTCAGTTTTGGTTCTTCTAATAATTGGATTTTCATTCTTGTGCAGTCTTCTATATGTGATTTATGGGTTTTTATTGTTGCATTGTGAGTGAGTCTTTGATTCTTGATATTGATTACACTTGGTTCTTTTTATTTTTGATGTGGTAGAATCAGGGAGTTAAAGATTTTATTTTTGATGCCCACCTAAAATAAAGCTATATGAAGGGTAATAAACTGTAAAATTTTAAAAACCTGAAAGAGGTCAAAGTATATTTAGTCCTAGACTGCCTGTAGACAAGTACCAATCATATTATTCTTCATTTCTTGAAATAAAGATGCTTTATTATTCAATTTTTCTGAAATGACATAAAAATTAAGGTGATTATATCATAAGTGTGAAATATGTACTTAATTGACCATCATAAAATATTGTCCCCCAGCAATAGGTAGTGCTGGGCCTCTGGTTACTCTCTTGTATCCTCAATTTAGCTATGAAACCCACTTAGTGCTAAAGATTGTTTATTTGATTGAATTTATGGTGTTGTAGTTGGTTTGTTCAAGACACAACGTGCTCAGGTAAGGGGAAGTGGTGAAACTAACTATATGCTTGGTAAAGAAACTTGTCAGTCTCATAAGCAACATTCACCTCTGATTGACTCTTCAATTGCTGGGAGAACGGTAAAAAGCTAACTCGAGAAATATCCATTGTTCATTTGTTTGTGTTCATATGTATGTTTAATATGTATATTTCTCCATTGTTTGTGTTCATATGTATGTTTAATTTCTTGCTTTCTCTATCCAATGATTGTGTAACACAAAAATAGATTTTTGGGGCAGAGGAACATAAAATTAGATTTGGTAATGAAATGTGTGAGGCCTAGGAATATCTATTTGTCTCTTGTAGATTTTTGGGGCTAGGTGATTCTTGTTAATTTGTTTCTCTAGTATACGTCTTTAATTTTCAACCCTTCTCTACTTCATTAGAATGAAAAATCAAGAACGAAAAAGAGCAAAAATAAATTTTTCGTTCTTCAAAAAGAAAAGTAGGGAATCAACATCAAATTCTAGTCTTGAACCTTTGAGTCTAGTAGAAACATCAACAAGTGTTGATGTTCCTATGATTCCTGCGGCTGTTGAACCTCAAGGTCTTCAACCTCAAACAAAAATTTTAAGAATTCCTTTTGATGAGAATAAACTTGAACGAGATCCCGCATTGCGTATTCCGATATGGAAACATCCTGCTTATAATCAAGATGACGTTAGATGTGCATATATAAAGTGGGGACCAAATCAACCTATCTTGGCTGAGTATCCGAGGACTAAAATTGGAGTTCAAAATCGAAGATTTCAGGAAAGTTGGTACAAAAAATTTCCATGGCTAGAGTATTCTGTTTCAAAAGATGCGGCATTTTGATTTTCGTGCTTTATTTTTCAAGGTCGTGAACCTCTACATCCTGCATTTACCGTTGATGGTTTTAGTAGCTGGAAGAGAGTGAATAATGGGTCCAAATGTATTTTCTTGTCACATATGGGAGGTCCTGCTTCCACACACAATAATGCTGTGAGAAATGTTGAGGTGTTGAAGAATATATTAGTGCACATTGATAAAGTTATGAATATTCAAAGTTTAGAAGAAATAAAGAGAAATCGATTACATCTTAAGGCTACCATTGATAGTGTTCGATGACTTACTTTACAGGGATGTGACTTGAAAGGTCGTGATGAAACTGTAATGTCAAAGAAACGTGGTAATCTAATTGAGATGATTAGTTTGATGGCAAAGTTGAATGTTGAGATAAATGATGTTGTCTTAGAGAAAGTTCCAGGAAATGCAAAGTATACGTCTCCTATGATCCAAAAAGATATTTTGCATATTCTAGCTACTAAAGTAAGAGAAAAAATCCGTGAAGAAGTTGGAAATGCCAAGTTTTGTATTTTGATTGATGAAGCAAAGGATGCATCAAATAAAGAACAGATGTCAATTGTTCTGAGATTTGTTGATGTTCAGGGTTTTTTACAGAAGAGATTTTTTGAGATTGTGCATGTTAAAGATACCACTTCTTTAACTCTTAAGAAGAAAATATCAAAAGTTCTTACTCGTCACAATTTGCAAATTTGAGATTTACGAGGTCAGGGATATGATGGTGCTAGCAACATGCGTGGTGTATTTAATGGATTACAAGCTTTGTTTCGTAATGATTGTGAGTATGCATACTGTGTTCATTGCTTTGCTCATCGTTTACAACTTGCATTAGTTACAACTGCTGAAGATGCGATTTCAATATAACAATTCTTTTCCAAATTGACATGCATTTTCAATCTTATTAGTGTTTCTCCTAAGCGTCATACAGAACTGCGATCTCCCAAGCTACTGAGATTGAAAGGGGGATAGCTTGTGGTGAACGAGAAACTGGTAAAGGGGCTAATTAGATGGGTACTTTGCATCGAGCTGGTACTACTCGTTGGAGCTCACATTTTGAATCCATTTGCGGTCTGATAGATATGTATGATGCTATCATTAGTGTGTTTGAATGTATGGTTAACGAAGGATCTTCAAATACAATTCGTGGGGAAGCTGATGGTTCTTTAATGGCAATGAAGTCCTTCGATTTCATATTCATATTGCATCTTATGCCCAAGATTATGGGGATTACGGATATGCTTTGTCGGGTATTGCAGCATAAATCATTAAATATTTTGAATGCAATGAATTTAGTCTCATCGACAAAATCATTGCTTCAAACCTTGCGAGCAGAAGATTTTGATTATCTCCTTGGCCATGTGAAAACAGTTTGCATGAAATTTGATGTCAATATACCTGATATGAGCACTCAGTACAAAGGTGCAAGACGTTCATGTCAACAGTATGATAACATTACAGTTGATCATCACTATCACATGGACTTATTTAATGCTACGATTGATCATCAATTAGAAGAGTTACATAGTAGATTCAATGAAGAGACAATGGAATTGCTTATGCTCAGCTTTGCTTTAAATCCGCGGGACAACTTTGAATCTTTCAATCCTGATCGCATTTGTTTACTTGCTCAGAAGTTTTATGCAGCTGATTTTGATAGACAAGACATGCATCATTTGAAATGTCAACTGGATCATTATCAATTTGATGTGGTTCGCCATGAGTGATTTCAAAATATGTCTACAATTTCAAAATTATGTCGTGGTTTAGTAGAAACAAATAAGGTAGAATCCTACAATTTGATTGATAGGTTGATTCGTTTTATTTTAACTCTTCCTGTTTCTACAGCAACTTCAGAAAGAACATTTTCAGCCATGAAACATGTCAAAAGTACTCTTTGTAACAAGATGGAAGATGAGTATTTGACTGATTCGTTAGTTGTCTACATTGAAAGAGAAATAACGAAAATAATCGGTACAGATTTCATAATAGATGCTTTTTGTTCTAGGAAGGATCGAAGAATCCAATTTCATTAGTAAGTATTTATGAGTTTACATTTGTATTTTATTAGTCATATAAATGCTTAGTTTAGCCCGGGATAAACAAATATCCTGGCTCCGCCCTTGTTTATATCACGATGAACTATTGGTTCGGGGATACCATGGTGAAGATAATCCAGTGCACAAGCAACATCAATGCCAATGTTTACTCTCTGAAGAAGGTTTAACTTCCAAATCTTCAATCTGATTAGGATGTAGATACCCCTCTAGACTGCCATTTTCCATGAATTCATAAACCAGAGCTTTAAAATCATTGCCCCGATAATCAATGCCCGAACATGCAGTTAACACCTTCACAAGATTTCGATGTCTAATACTCCTCAACGTCTCACACTCTGCTATGAAACTCTTGGAAGCTCCATGATGTGATAGGTTAAGTACCTTCACAGCAATAATTGTTCCATCAGGATCAAGAATTCCTTTATACACAGACCCGAAGCTACCCATACCAATCAAATTGGTTGTAGAGAACCCATTAGTCGCTTGAAGGAGACTTTGATAAGACACTTTCAAGAGTGAGTTTCCTATTAAATCTGATGAAGATTTTTTGTTGGTTTTTCTAAACCGAGAGATGAATAGAAAACCCAGGGCAAGAGTTAGTCCTAGCAGCCCAGAAACTATAGAGATTACAAGTTTAAAGGTAAAAGTCAAGAAGATGTTCTTAGAACGTCTAGATTTGCATTTTGGAAGCTGAAATTCTGATATACCCCCACAAAGTTTAGAGTTTCCACTTACTGAAGTTGCACTTGCATTCTCAAAGATGCCTTCTTTAGGTAATGGACCCTCAAAATCATACCTGCAACAACTGCAACTATTTCCAGTTTAGTGACTTGTCCAAGTTCTTTAGGGATACCCCCAACAAGATTGTTAGAATACAAAAAAAGTTGCACAAGAGATGACAAGTTCCCAAAAGGAGGGATTATACCTGTCAGATTGTTTTTGTTAACAGCCAACAATTGCAATTTAGACAGAGAGCCAAGCTCCACAGGGATCTTCCCTACCAACTTATTG